CGAAAGAATCAAAGAGTACAAATGATCCTTTTTAGCCAGTTTACCAACTATTTCGTGGTGCGTGGGCACAGCAGCAACAAAAGACAAAAAACACCAATATTGCACACAACATTGTAGATGGTGTCACAATAATCAAGTATATACAGGATGGTGGCCTAAACTATGTTCAGGTGGAGTTGAGGTCGCATACAGCGTTTGTTTCTGTAGAGGAATTCAATTTATTTTTATCTTATTGGCCACAGGATCCATGTGGGTCTTGAAAGATAGTCTTTAAGTCCACCGAGATATTTGTAGTTGTCAACCTGCTCATACGGGTGCGGGTCCAGAGGCACAGTGTACATCGGTGGCAAGAGATGTTTTGGGACCGCTGGAGAATAACATAACTTTGGTCTTTGTAGATTTGAGAGTCAGATTTAAGGCATGAAGTTTAATTAAGGCATGAAGTTGAGGACGAAGATCATTGAAGTTCTGTTGTAGATGCTGTTGAAACTCCTCCATGGAATTGGTTTTGGAGCCATCAGGGTTGTGTCATCAGCAAAATAGCTTTTTTGTGTCAGAATTATGGTTCACTTCTTGGTGTTTACAATCCCACAAACCCACGCCGGGGTTATCTATGAGTTTCTACCTGTGAAGGATGATCTGCTGCGATACACACAGATTCGATGTACAGTAATACATTGAATCTGTAACACGTGTTTGGAATGTTGATGTTTGACCAAATCTGTTTCCATTTGCATGAACTCTGGTTGTGATGAAGAACAATGTGTGATTTTTAGGCGCTGGTTCTGTAGATTTTGTAAATATTTGTGGGTGGGTAGACTTTAATTGGCTTGGATGCAGGTGTATTCATTGAAAATGTTCTCTGCTGTGTATCTCATGGGGAGGGATGCCTGATAGTACAGATAGTCAGGGTGAAGGAGTTGATATTTGAATACTGATGACAATTTAAGATGGGGCCCATTTGTTTGGTGTGGCAGCCTAGAAGCCAGTATGGGAGTGCAGTACTGTGGAGTAGTACACTTATGTCCAAGGAAGCAATATGGAATGTATTTATGTTCCCAACCGAGTCCCTGTGAGTTTCTGGATGAGGTTTGTCCTAATTTTTGTCTTTTTGCTGACCTTACATATTCCGAGTCGTTCTTGATTTGATCCGTAGTTAGTCCTAGATATATGTATGGTTCATTCTGGACTTTCTTGCCACGAAAAGGCCGGTTGTTCAAGTAGAAATCAGTAGTTTGGATGGATTTGGATGAAGTTGTCAAAATGAATCCATCACTTTTAGGTCCTTAGTGATGGCATGGCCTTTCTCGTCAAGGCATAATGCTTGGGAAGCAAAAGCAATATCATCTTCACAGAGAATTCTGCGATGTTGTGTGCGGCGTGAAATCCAAACTTGTAGAAGATGATGGCCAGATGTTAAATTACGACGATGCTTGTTGAAAATATTGTTAAACGTTTTAATGATGCAATTGTGTTGGCACTGCTAATGGTACTGAGCAAAGTGTACATTTTCAAAACATGTGTTGAGCATGCTCTTCTAAGAGCTCATGTTGAAGATATATCACTCACAATTATGTATATTATTTTAAAGAGCAGTATTTGAGACAGATTTCCACTAGGACCTTGGTCATGCTCCGCTCTTTCACGGGTTGAGGTTGACTGGGTTTGAGAGAGTGACACTTTACGAGGATGCACTCCTGCATCGCATGTCATCAAATTCTTCAATCGTAACATTTTAAGTAATGCAATTCAAATAATAGTTTTTTGTGACTTTTTGCATTGTCTAGGGAGAAGGAAGGTATAATGGGTGCTGCTGATATGTATTTTATATATAGTGGCCTTTGTTATTGTAATCTATTCATAATAACTACTGTTCTTTTTGGTTTTATTAAATTTCTGTTTCTTAAAATATATTTTTCATGAGAAATTTGGCAATGACGTAATATGTAAAATGCTTAGAAGAAATTGTGTCTTCAAGTCATGAAGATACATTTTTGTAAGCAATTAAACTCCCATGACATTGACCTTCAAGGAAAGTTATTTCACCCCTGCCTTGTCTTTGGCAACCAGCAAATGATCAAAGATCTCCCTCCACATGTGCAATTTTTCGATTGAATCTTTGTTTTTTGTAAAACCTTTACAGCTCAATCTCTCTGGGAAGGGTGCCTGATGAATATCTTGAAACTTGGGGGAAATTTGATCCTTGGAAATTGAGGTGCTCAAACACAGCAAGACACAGGGCTTCTGTAGGAGATATATGCAGAGATTCAATGTTGGTTCATGATCAACAAATTCAGGGGTTATCAGCAATACGATTGCATTGTGTGTATCAACCGCCTCCGATATTGTATTCACTAAAAAAGTACCAGCAGGTTTTTCACTGAAAAGCTCACACTGGACCCCCCCTATATTTGTGGCCAACTGCTGGAAGTGCTCAGCCAGCGTTGAGTCTTCGTCTGAGTTAATGGTGTGAAGCATTAATATGCTCTGTTGCTTCTCTTGGTTTTCCATGAGTTCCTCATACAGATCTCGTAGTACCGTTTTACTGTCCACAGAAAGCGTTTTCATGTTCACCTCTGCTGCCCCAAAGCATATTTCAACTTGGAGATCACGACTGATCTTATCGTGCCCCTCGTTAGTACTCTTCAGGATCGCCAGATACATGTGAGCCGTGCCGTAGTCCTTTTCAGCAGCCAGGCTCTTGATGAGCCGACACAGTATTTCTGGATCATTAGAATTCTGTTTGTATGCTTCTCGCAGTAGGATCAAAGCCTCTCTGTGGTTCCCTACAAGTTGGTGAAGATCCGATTGCTCCATTGTGTCATTGCACTTCACGAGCTCCTGAATCAATTTCTCAAATGCCACCTTGCGTGTCGTGTTCACCGTGGCTGCCTCTTCAATAGCCATACGTAAGAGGTGCTGGCTCTTAGTTTGGTCTCCACATGCATGCTGAGCCAAGCCCCACTTCTCCAGTGTAAAGGCACGGGAGTGATGGGTAACTTTTCGATCTTCTTGCAAAGCGTTAATGTAGCACTCATCTGCTTTTGCGTGCATGCCACATGCAGAGTACATTCCTGCCAGGTCCACGCGCAGCTTGTGGGCTGTGTCTTCGGACAGCTGAATGGCGCTTTCAAAGCAATCGATAGCCTTGCTTACATATTCATTCACTTTTGGGTTGGTGCAGTTTTCGTAAGCACCGGCATATGTTACTCTTTTACTGCTTTTCCATGAAGGTGCACAACCTTTAGTTGGAGAGCTTCTTTTCTTGCAAGTGACTGGGCATATTACTCGCAGAATGAATTTAGAGTTGTCTTCTCCGATTATAACCGACGAAGCAACATCGATATTTTGACCCTCACTTAGGGTCTTGTATTTCCTGAATCTAGGTTTTTCCTGACGACCTAGATGTAATGTACAGCATGAGAAGCGATTAGCACAAGTAACTGTTCCTGTTGTATCTGTTGTCAAATAAATATATTTACATTTTTACGATTAATAAATACATAGCATTTTACAGATTTGTATAAATTATGATGGTAGTTTAATTTCATAAGTTTTTTTGTTAAGCCGCATAATAATCTGATCATATATGTGTTGGGAAACCCTCCACCAACCCGACACAGCCAAACAAATAAAATTGCCACGTCTACACGTGTTTATATATGTAAATTATTATCGTTTCAGCTCACCGGCTTGTGGAAGAGCAATTCTCGAGACCAAATTTTAAGCGAAAGACACGTTTCATTTGAAAATACACCCAACACCACTAGGGGGCGAACCTCCACGCCTCAAAAAATGATTCTCACTTTCTGGATTTTCATTTTGAAGCCTGGAAAATCCCCCCCCCACCTCAACTTGATCAGGTTTGGCATATTTCCAAATTAAATGTCTCTTGATAAAAATTTTTTTTGAGAATTGCTTAAATGAAATCATTTTCATAATTGGCACGCTATAACGCTTTTATACGTGACATGTTTATTTGTTTGGCTATGTTGGGTTTGTGCGGGATATCCCAACACGTATATAAATAATATCATTACATAGCCTCAACCAAAACATTATATTACGAATCGTAATGTTGGCTACGAAAACCGTTTAAGTTGCTTATACACGACGCACAAAGCAATGTAAAGTGACATTCGGGTCATTGCACTCACTCTGATTGTTGGCTTCTGCTGCTGCGAGGGTACGGTAAGTCAAACCGAGGTGGTGGAGAGCAAACTCAGACGGGCAGCGGTCATGTGACTTTTGGAGCAACTCCAGGGCCCTCTCGTTCTGTTTAATGTGCCTGTAGTGGCGCCCCACGCGTCCCAGCACCCAAGGGTCATCAGGTGCCAGCTGACTTGCCCGATTAAAACAATCTGACATTGTCATCGGTTTGAACCCAGTCACCTCCAAGATCTTCGTTGTATCATAATCTACGTGACATTTCCTGCGATTGTAATAACATAAAAAAGTACCTTTGAAACACATTCGAACGAAGCACCGAATATTTAGAACGTTTCAAATTAAAATGTTCTTCCAAATTACATCATGTAAGTACGATTGCAATGGTAATGCAGTCATATATTAAAGCAATAATAGCAAGCATGCCATTTTACGAGATATAGCTAGCACGAATGAAGAGAAAATAGTGTTCCCTTATAAGCAGCGAATTTCAAATGAACAAAAATGAGGTGTCCTTTATTTACCAGCACAAACGTCACTATACTTGCACGTGTGAAAAACGCAAAACACACGAAAAGCCCTGCGTTAGTGATACACTTTTGTAATACAGGGTGCTTAAAAATGTTTTTAATACTTACATGGGACTATCGTTTTAAATGGAAAAAGAATGGATAATACACTGTAACATGATAACAAATGTATGTTAATAGCTTCAAACAGTCAACAAATCTCCACTTGTTCGCCATCGTTGTCAACACGTGGCCTGAAATCTACTCCAGGTGGTCTCCAGAGCCTGGAGGCAGCAGCACATGTCACGTGGTATCGTTGCAAATTCTCGGAAGTGTTTACAATTTTGTTTTAAGCACCCTGTACATTCATGGACAGGTATATAACGTGCACAATTTTATTTTAACCAATTTATCACCTTGAAATTACAACCGGCAATGCTCGTTTCACGGAGAACAGAAAAAAAACAGAAAAACCAAATGTAGAATGGAATAAAAAAAACGCGTCAATTAAAGTTTGAGTAATGCAATTACGCGTTTAACACGTATGCTTTTGCATGTACAATCTGAACACTTTTGTGGATTTACTCTCCAACACAGCGGTGTGCTGTACAAGTAACGAATTGGCATGTTGTTAACTTGACAAACGTTTACTTAAAGGCCGTGTCGGGTGGTGGCGGGTTTAACGACACATGTATATTTACACGATCTAACAACAACAAAAAAACCTGTATTACGAATGCAATTACATGATCCGAAAATATTCCTTCGCCGTCTCGGCCAAAACGATCCAAGCTTTGGGCTCATAAATCTTGTGCTTCGCGCACATGACGTGCGCGAGTGTTTGCACCACTTTTTTTAAACATTCTGCCATCGAGAAACCGGGGTTCTCCCTCACGAACTCCATTTTCGAAATCCTGAAAAAAGAAATAACTGATCAGAAGAGAGCACGTATTTCACTGACATTTCGTTAATAAGGCAGTGGGGGCGAGAGGAGGGGGCTTTGTCCCAGCCCAGTAACCTTAGTCGACTTCTGCCTACCAGTATCCGCCAATGCGTCCACATGTCACCCGAGGTCTACTGTCAGCATATTTGGTGACCGCAGCTTTCCCATCGCTTGCCCACATGCCTGGAGCAGTCTGCCTCAGGCACAAGCCCGAGCCGCCGAGGCATTGTCGTCTTTTATTAAAAGCTCAATCAAAAAAACGACATTTCTCATTACAATGTACTCGCGGCTAATGTTTAATTTTTTTTGCGATTTATTTAGCATCTTCATTTATTCAGCACCCCTTTTAATCGATGTCATTATTATTTTCATCCAGTTGTCGAAAAAGCATTGACGATGATGATGATAGCCAAAACGGTCGCGTTTGGTGGGTCATGTGACAATTGTGACAATCGTAACCTGACCCACCAAACGTTACTGTCAGGAGCTGCTACAATACTTTTTTTTGTGAGCGCTTTTCTGAATACTCAAAGACACTTTACATAAAATCATAAAAGCAGAAAAAACAACATCAAATGGTAAAAACACTAAAAACACATCAAACTTAACTAAACATTAAAAGTAATTTTAAAAAGGTGAGTTTTAGTCAATGATTTGAACGCTGGAAGATCGGTGCAGTCACGGATTTGTTTTTGGAGAGAGTTCCAAAATGATGGGGCAGCTATAGAGAAGGCTCTGTCGCCCCAGGTTCGATGCTTGGTCCTGAGAGGTGGAGCCAGGAGGTTGGCGTCAGATGAGCGAAGGCTACGGGATGGGTTGTGGCGGTGGAGCAGGTCAGTGAGGTAGGAAGGGGCCTGGTTATGAAGGGCTTTGTGTGTGAGGAGGAGGATTTTGAATTGAATTCGTTCTGGGACCGGGAGCCAATGGAGGTGCTGGAGGACAGGGGTAATGTGGTCACCGGTGCGGATGTGAGTGAGCAGACGAGCAGCAGAGATCTGGATGTACTGCAGTTTATTTAATGTTTTGGTTGAGATGCCGTATAGGATGCTGTTGCAGTAATCGATTCTGGAGGTGATGAAGGCGTGGATTAGGGTTTCTGCAGCGGAGAAAGAGAGTGATGGGTGAAGTCCGGAGATGTTTTTGAGGTGAAGAAAGGCAGCTCTGGTGATTTGTTTTATGTGGTGTTCAAAGGAGAGGTTATTGTCAAAAATTACTCCAAGGTTGCGACTTTGAAGGGATGGAGACAGGGTGAAGGTGTCGACAGTGATGGAGAAACTGCGAATGGATTTAGTGATAGATTTGGGACCGATGATGATCATATCTGTTTTGTCGCAGTTAAGTTTAAGGAAATCGGTGTGCATCCACGATTTAATGTCAGCGAGGCAGTTAGAGAGAGTGGAGTGGGTGGCGGAGGTGATGGATTTGGTGGAGATATAGAGCTGGACATCATCGGCATAGCAGTATGCGTGCCACTGAATCTTGCAGAACAATTGCCAGGGGTTTTTGTGCTCTGCACACACGGCATTGTATTGGTACAACTATCGTATTATGCGCTCTCATGTACACCTTGGGCAGGGTCTACTGTGGGGAAAAAGCACAAGCACTCATACATTATCACGCCTTTATAGCTACGAATGATGAGTTTCATATTGTATTTGTAAATTTCAGATATTCACATTTAAATCAATGCAGTAGGAATATCTTTCCCTGTGTACGCATCAACTGCAAACGTTTAAGTAAACGTAAATGTTAATCAATGACTGGACATAGAATTACTCAAAAGAATCGGTAGTGAAAAATTATTACATTTATGTAAGTTCGATCGAGGATGAACAATAGTTTATGGACGACAGTTAGATTTGTAAAAAAAAAAACGAAACACTGGTCATGCGGCATTTTGCACAATTTAAACTGGTCAATGTTACATAACTTTGAACAAGTGTAGAATAGTTTGATGCGTCATGTCATCACACTACCTTCGGGAAAAGGGGCGGGTCCGAGTGAAGGGGAGGTGCCGCCCAAGGGGTACTTAACGGGGACCCCGTGACGAAGGCGGGGTCGTTGTGGGAGCCCGGAGTGTGGATTGGCTGCGGGAGGTCTCTCCTGCTCGTGACTGGACGGTGTTGGCTGAACCCCCATCCGGGGTCGACGAGTGGGAGAGCCGAAGAGATAGCGGAGAGAAGGGCTCCAAGAAGTCTGTGAGAATCGGCTGAGAGTGAGTGGGGTTCTTCTCTCCTCGGCCGGGCGGTGTTGGATCAACCCCCGTCCCGGCCCGAGTGAGAGAGCCAAAGGGATAGCCGAGGTTAGGACGAGTAGAGCTCGGGGGTCCATGGGAAGGACCGAGTATAGAGAACACCTACACCTGGTGTGAGCCTGAGTGTTTAAACAGTGTTAATAAATGGCGAAATCCCTTACAAGGAGTTCCGTCTCCGCGTGGTTCTACGACACAACACAAGAACTCGATTTAATAAACAGCATACATACACACCTGTCATAGTTTAAGGCTATGTTGTAATTCCAGATGATTATTTTGTCTTGGGAGCAGTGGCCTCGACCCTTCTTGATGGCTTGCTCGAACTTTTCGATGGCCTGCAGGTAAACGTGGGGGCCCATGCGGGACAGGAAGTAGCCCTGCTCAGCTAGAGCCGTTGCATTCGCTCCCTCATTGTCCCTCTGCGCCTCCAGCTCACTGAGTGCCTCGGCGGCTTCCTTAAACTCGTAGGTCAGCAGGAGGAGCTCGCACCGGTTGGCCAGCGCCGTTATGTTCTGAGGATCCTTGGCCAGGACCTCGGCCACTATCGGCTTGGCCCTGTCAGGCATTTGGCGCTTCAAGTGCAGAAAGGCGAGGCAGTTCAGATTGCATACATCGCTTAAAAATTCATCTGCTGTGGCGGAACAACTCTTCTTCCGCTCGAGCTTTGCCATCACTTGCTTTTCAAGCTGTTTGTAGTACTCCAGTTGAAAAAGATTTGGAAACTTCATGTACCTCTCCTGTATTTCTTTTTTCTTTTCCATCCTGCAAGTGTTACTTCGCACCTGTGGGTCCGTCTGTGCTAAGAACTGAAACAACCCGATAGTGGGCCGCAATCTGTCAGCCTTAACAAAACAGTCAGCGGAAACATATTACAGACGTACGGGATATTTGTATACAGCGCGAGAGTTTTTAAATTAGAATTTTTTAAGTTGAATTAATGTAATGCTATCGGTACTTTAAAGTTATATATGTATGTAGCGTACACCTCGACCTACACGTTACACTGGGGAAGAGCATACATCTGCCACGTCACTCTCCATGAACTCTCCTACCTCTCCCCTCTCATCTCACTCTACTCCCCTCCACGCACTCTCCTACCTCCCCCTACCATCTCACTCTACTCCCCTCCACGCACTCTCCTACCTCTCATCTCACTCTACTCCCCTCCACACACTCTCCTACCCCTCCCCTCTCATCTCACTCCACTCCCCTCCACGCACTCTCCTACCTCTCCCATCTCATCTCACTCTACTCCCCTCCACGCTCTCTCCTACCCCTCCCCTCTCATCTCACTCTACTCCCCTCCACACACTCTCCTACCCCTCCCCTCTCATCTCACTCTACTCCCCTCCACACACTCTCCTACCTCTCATCTCACTCTACTCCCCTCCACGCTCTCTCCTACCTCTCCCCTCTCATCTCACTCTACTCCCCTCCACGCTCTCTCCTACCTCTCATCTCACTCTACTCCCCTCCACACACTCTCCTACCTCTCATCTCACTCTACTCCCCTCCACGCTCTCTCCTACCTCTCCCCTCTCATCTCACTCTACTCCCCTCCACGCACTCTCCTACCTCTCCCCTCTCACTCTACTTCCTCCGCGCACTGTCCCGAACTCTCACGCTCTTATTTCATCTCACTCGACCCTTTTCATGTCATCTCACTATTTTCCACTGCCTTTAACAAACTCTAAACGACCGTATACCACGTTTCCATCCGGTCTTGAGATGCGGTCGCAATTAGACGCGGCATACAAAATATTTGTTTTTACCGTACGGTCCAACATTGAATAACGCAGTTGCAATAAAACACGTTCTCACGTAACGAATACTTTAACTATTTACGTATATATCACGCAGTAAAGTAGGCCGATACACATTTTATTGTAGGCATTTCAGATAATTTCACAGGGCAACCCACCTGTAAGACAATAGGAAGTGGAATGACAGACGACGTCTCTGAGTGACCCTGATCTTTTGATCACATACGCACGAGGCGTTTCGTTAATGTCACCTCCGAGCAATGTGACACGTTTGGGCCCCTCCCTATTAAGATATCGTTCTACTCGTCTTGTTTGTGCTGCGCGCGTGCGTGTGTGTGTGTTAACTATAAAAAAACAAAAATGGGGTTTAAAAAACTTTTCAACGTACGCACTTTGATTTGCACCCAAAAGTGGACAGCGCATTATCTTGACCCCAGAATTAATCACATTCGATGTTCTGAATAAAAGTGGGTGACTTGCATAAAGCAATTTAAACGTATCGAAAAGGAAACCATCCACTTTTTATTTAGCACATCGGATGCGATTAATTCTGGGTAAAACGTGTTTTTTTTACTTTTGAGTGCAAATAAAAGTATACATTGAAAAAGCTTGTTTTTTTACCAATTGTTTTTACTGTGAAAACTATTATAACTATTTAACTACTCTTTGTTTCACCAGGTAAGGCCCATTGAGCTACATAGCTCTTTTTCAGAAGCGACCTGGCTACAAATAATAGCTCAACGAAGTGGCTTATCACATATGGAAGTTTACAGCAGCCAAACACTCTAAGCACACGATGACAAATGTGGAGGGAAAATTCCGGAGGACCCCGAGAAAAATCCACGCGACCAAGGGGAAGGAACAAGCAAACTCCAAAAATACAGACGTCAGGGTCGCGATCAAACACCATGACCTCCCGCATACCGAGGGAGGTAGTTAACATCTCGCCACCGTGGCGCTCACAGTCACGATGCGATAGAGCCGGACTATCCGGTTATTTAAAGTATTAAATCACACGGCAAATGATTTGTTCGGCGAATCGACGAATGAGACAACGCGAAAAATGGTCCCGCTTGTGACGCTGGACAGGGGATGACGATGATGATGAGTTGTCAAGTCTCACGAGAGAAATCCAGCACTGCCTTTCAAAACAGCAACCTATTTCAGGGTGTTTTTACAATTTTCCGTAACTTTTTTGTAATAGTTTTGCTGCATGCATAAAAGTTACACGTTAAATGTATTGCAAATAATAACGTTGTGCGTACGTTATTGCATTGTGGGGGAAAAAAAAATCGCTTTTGTACATGGAAGTATTTGAAGCACAACCAATAGCTTCAAGCACACTAAAAAAACTCTGCTTGGTTGAGATATGTGGATGACACATGCTGACGAGTGATCATCATGAGACTAAAAGAACACCAGAGGAATATTAAATACTCCTAAATACATCTGTCGGCAGTTGCAGAACACGCGTGGCAATGGGGACACTCAATTGATTTTGAAAATGTTGAAGTTCGTGCAAAACTAGTTATGACTGGCCAAGGCGAGTTAGATTATAATCTATCGAATTTGAGAGAAATAAACACATTCCTGCGGCGGGAGCTGGTAGGAACGTTAACATAGGTGTATACATACAGTGTAGTTAACATAAGTGTACACACACAGCATAGTTAACATAGGTGTACACACACACAGCGTTGTTAACATAGGTGTATACATACAAGCGCCGTAGTTGATACAGCACACGTGTGTACAGTGCCCTGTGCAGAAATGTGTACAGTGCTCAACTAAATGTTTTATTTTGACCGGGTAGGGCCCACTGAGCTGTATACGATTCCGAAGTGACCTTTCCTCGAATGATGGCTTAACGAATTGGCGGCTTATAATGTAGAGATTGAGAGCGGCCGCATACTCCAAACGCATGTTGTTGATTCTCCACGTGGAGGGAAAGAATGTCGTGAAGATGGCCGGACGTGGTTGGTGGCCACCCACCCCCACAACGTGTGTGCCGTGACCGCCTTCACCACCCAGCCCCTCCCCTCCCCACCCAGCCCCTCCCCTCCCCACCCAGCCCCTCCCCTCCCCACCCAGCCCCTCCCCTCCCCACCCAGCCCCCTCCCCTCCTCACCCAGCCCCCTCCCCTCCCCACCCACCCAGCCCCTCCCCACCCAGCCCCTCCCCTCCCCACCCAACCCCTCCCCTCCCCACCCAGCACCCTCCCCTCCCCACCCAGCCCCCTCCCTACCCCACCCAGCCCCTCCCCTCCCCACCCAGCCCCTCCCCTCCCCACCCAGCCCCCTCCCCTCCCCACCCAGCCCCCTCCCCACCCAGCCCCCTCCCCTCCCCACCCAGCCCCCTCCCCTCCCCACCCAGCCCCCTCCCCTCCCCACCCAGCCCCATCCCTCTCCACCCAGCCCCACCCCTCCCATTTTTGGATGCACGACGGACGGACGGACACAATAATCCCCTGTGGGCTGTTGGTGGAACCGGGAGGTTCCTACCAGTAAGATTTTTAACCGTTCGGATAGCTGTAGGCCGAGTGCTGCTTTGAAGCGAATCATCAAGTAACAAATTGTTTAACTGCATGCCTATACGTCGATGGGATTACCTGTGAGCAGACAAGAACAGGTACTGCTATTTTCGTGCACACAAACAACAGGATATGCAAGAATAATGTGCGTGCATAATGTACGTTGCTTACCATATTAATAACCCAACCGGTAATGGATACCCATTTTAATGTATATGCATTCATAAGGCCCAACCGGTCTTCCCACAAGAAGGGCTCAGAAGAAACGAAATAGGATTTCTTCACAAATCTGGCCGTCGCCTGATGACGCTGATTGTAATCACCAGCAAGACATCGTACTCAGATTGTAAATGTTGTGGATTTACCCTCCAACACACCGGTGTGCTGTACTAGTGTAGTGAGACTCACTCAGAGGCACTAATAGTAGGACGCAACTATTTATTATCGCCTTCACAGGTACGGGGAGCAACTAAACCATAGTCAGGACAGTGAACAGGCTGCCTGACTAACAACGCCGAGGAGGTGAAGACGGTGACAAAGACTCCAGCAGCACGACGGGTTCCACTCCAAACAACAGCCCCGAACCTTGCTCGGGGCCCACCTTTTATCCACCCAGCGTGGCCTCGCTCCGCCCTCGGCCACGCCCCCCCCCCCTTCTAGAACCCATCAGAAGGTTCCTGGGCTTTTGCTCACTTGCCACTTCTGTGGCCTTTTCCCCACATCCCTTTCTCCGGCTTATCGCGTGACCTGCTGGCAGACAGGGCTGCTACAACAGCAAGCTCCCCCTTCTCTGCCAGCAACCAGCGCTACGCGCCCTAGTGACCCATTCCGTGTCACTGCACTAGTAACAAATCGGCATGTTCTGTTTACGTGACAAACCTTACTAATTGGCTGTGTCGCGTGGTGGCGAAAAGCCTACGTGTTAAAACTGATGTGCATGCAGTGTACATCGACAACAATCACCGACAACAGCAGCCAGCATTCGCCACTAAGTGGCGGTGACGGCACCAACAGCGCCTTTGCCAGGCCAGGTGCACTTTGAGGCCACCTGAAGTGTCGAAGGTTCGCCTGGCAGGCGGTGACCTGCGGTGACTCGATCGACTGAGATGACTGTCACATGCAAAAGCCATGCGCTTCCTCTGCTCGTTGTTGCCACAAGCACTCCTGCTAAACATTGTTTAAACTGCCGACTTTGTGTTGAAGTCACCGATTACAACAAAGTCCAAAATAGGCGACGTCTAAACAAAGCAAGCCCAAAAACCGCAATCCGTGATAAAATAAAAATAAACAAGTCCAAGTTCGCTCACGCTAAGCGAACTTTGGAACACTGGAGGGGTGATTTACCTGGGAGTGGGGAGATCATCATCCACGTCACGCTGGCCCTGGCTGGTAGAGGGATTTTCACGAGGTAGGATGTCGGGTCGACCATGAAAGTTTAAACTTTAAAGGTTTCAAGCAGTAGCGTGACTAGCGTGGGGGGCAGTGGAGCAGTACCTTGCTCCCCCTCTCTGGTGGCCAAAGCTACGATTTGGGGCCCCCTTTGAAAAGTACCATGAGATGTGTTTTCAACAGTTTAGTATTGGAAGTACTGTAATCGTTTTTTTTTACCTTAAATAAAAGTAATGTAACTTAACGAAACGTAATTCGCTTTGACAGTAACTCGAGTAAAATAACATTGGACATCGGACTCCACAATCTTATTTCAATACGTATTAAAGACATTCCAAATGCAGTAAAATAACTGTAGGCAAAGTCAAGTGATCTCGACAAGATACAATTGCTTCCTTGTGTTTGTTGTCGTAACGTTCGTACACGTCCTTAGTGGGCATTTTTATCAGATTCCTCCAGTATAAATAGATATTCTAATTCTAAATGCAGTGCAATAATGAGCAATAAAGTTGCATTTTTATTATTTTTATTTTTAGTATTCATTTACTTTCAGTGTATATTGCTGAGCTTTAATAAACACAAGGGCATATTGGGTTACATGAAGTTATTTTAAGTCAATGGTTGTTTTAAAACGTTTAACAAATCAAGACTAAATCGAACAAGAATGTACAGTAATTCAACTTAAAGAAAGTTAACTGTGCCTCCAAATTTTAGACACGCAAGAACTATAGGGTATTTTATGGAAATGAAAATTAACATTTCAGGCAAGTAGAGGTAACTGCGTCGCAGCGTGAAAGGCAATAGATGAACATCCATTTACATTAAACAGGAGTGCCCAATGAGATATCCAAGGGAGACCCAAAATTATTGGCCAGCCAATACACAATATTAAGTAGACAATTCAGTGTCACACAGTTGTGGTGAATTCAAAATATTCGTGGTTGCTGAAAACTAAACATGTCTTGAGTTTGAAAAAGCAAACATTTGCTGTAGAAACGGGAAGTCCCACCATCTGTACAGTACTTTCCCAGAAACGCCATTATAAGGCACAACTTTTGGCAGAAATCCAGCAGTTTTTGATTGACAGATCTTTCACATTGCCTTTGGGTGATAATGCAGCATCATTTTCCATTCCGTCACATTTCACGATGTGCATGTTTACAGCCAATGCGCCCTCTATAGTTTTTATGTCTGTCCACAACCCGCGACTGGATTGAGAGCCAGTAAAAGGACTAAAGCACGGCAAACCCCTTGACTTTCGCGGGTTATCGTTCTTGATTTCGACCTACCACAGGCAATCTCTCTGCATACCAATTTAATCATCACGTGGGTTAGTTTTGGCTTTTCGTTGCTGATACCATGGTGTTTATTTGGCATACAGTACAGTACTTATTCAATTGTCACGTGTATATTTTCCTATTTTTTTGTCTATTTTAGATTTTGGCGTTCGCGGCACTTTCCAAGAACGTAACCCCCGCGTTTTTCAAGGGTCTCCTGTTCGGTAAATCCATGCTTAACGCATGTTCACACGATGCGTTTTCGCTTTAACGCTGTTTTTCTTCTGTGGAACGTTTTTCACTTAACGCACATTCCGCCCGCAATGACGCGAGTCTAGCGTGTGATGGACTATTTTTCTGAGCAGTGTGGGTGTTGGCAGCGTTGTTAGGTGATGCTGGGAGCTGGCACTTCGCTGATGCCCTCTGGGCCTTCCTCTTCATCAGTCTTTGCTCCAGCATCTGTGTTGCTTAGCGTCACCTTGATCTCTTTCACTCGCCACCTCGTTCTCTCTCTCACACACACTTTATATTTAAATGACTTTCACACGTAGCATATTTATGGAAATGCTATATAAACACAATACATTTTAAAATAAACATGCAAAACAATGTACTGCACCGTCAAAATAAAAACAAGAACATTACGGGATGGAAAGGCACCCCGGCCTTTACCATGATCCCTCATGGGTATATGACTCCGGCTTAACGCGAATACGCTTTATGCTGCAATTTCAGGAACGCAAACGTCCGTGTTTAGCGAGGGACTTGCTGTAATGCGGTAACATTTATGAGTGCAGATAAGGAGTGTGGCACAAACATTTTGGATCCTCCGAGGTTTGGTTAGGAGAGAGTTGCAACAGTGACGTCAGGATGTGATGGGAGGCGTGGATGGGGGTCTAGGGGGCAGAGATCGTTTGGTGTTAATATGTGGGAAGAGAACAAGAGCTTTGGACCAATAACAACTCGAGGGCTTTGCACACTCGTCACCAGTGTAGAGTGGATCTTGGCCGTCTCTATCATGGCATCGACCAGTCAGTCATCCCAAGGGACTCATTGGTTCACACAGATCTGCCGTGACACGTGCTTAACCTTGCAGGAGGCCTAACACGTGGTGGGAAGTGAACAATGGTTGGCTCAACAAGTCTTCGTGGCATACGCATTTCCGATGATGATGACGAGTCTAATTTGCCGCATTTATTTTTGTTGGACGACTCCTGTACCTGCACCAGCAACAACAGCAGCCTCTCTTGGGCCGACTTTAATTCTTCCTTCACCAGCTGTCAAGAGCTTTCTCTTAGCCTAGTGCATTTGGTAGTGCGAATGACGGCGCTTGCCTCGTGCCAGCCTGGAAATAGATATGGTAGCTGCCCTCTGAAAAAGCTGCCCAGGCGGCCGTAGGCATTACCTGGCCGCCAGATTGCCAAGCAGGTGTGGACACTTTGCCCTGATGAGCCTCCGTGGCTCATTGGAGGTATTGTAAATACTAAATGATTGCAGATGAGAAGAGTCGCGTGACCAAAAACTCCCCCCGATCGCAATACAATCGTGGATTTTAGTACGTTTTCATGAATTCAGAACAGGTACACATACCTGTCAACCCCTTATCAATGCCTATCTTATTACAGACCAATTATGACCGTATTGGTCACCCCGTGTCCTTATAAATCTCAACGTTCATCCTACAAAGCCCCATCACAAGGGAGACATACAAACAAATAGCATTTATTTTCCCCGTATTGAAACGTCTGTACGCCGTATGGGTTGACAGGTATGTGTATAGTATGTCTACACATACATAGTCTAAACATATACATATATACTGTACATGAATGTAAAAGGCTCAATTCCATAAAAGTCTGCGAATCATTCTCAGATTTCGGGAATGGCATGGGAAAAAAACGCCTCTCTCCTCTGCGATGTTTTCTCTTGAGGAGGAAAGTCGTGTCTTTTTCGTGGCAAATCGCAAATGGGAGGATCTACAAACAGCGTCACCTACGCCCGACGTGGACTGGCGCAGTTTCACTGCAGCAACAATTCTCAGTACTGTCCATCATTTATGCAGCATTTTTAGCGGCCCATAAATGGTCAAAGATGTTTCTCCACACGTCGAGCTTTTGCAATGGATTGATGTCTTTGAAAGCTTCGCAGCACAGACCCTGAGGAAGTAACGCGCGGTGCGCTGCCTTCAGGGCCTGAGGAATGTCGTCTTCGGAGACGCAGGGCGCACACAGGCACAGCAGGACGCAAGACCCCTGCAGCAGGAAAAGGCAGAGCCTCTTCGCTGCATCGTTTCTAACAAACTCTGGAGTCACCATCACAATGATCGCGTCATAACTTTCTGGTACCTCCGCGATACTTTGTACCAATATCTGGCCACCTGGCACACAGCAAAGGGGGACACACTCAACCTGTGCCATTTCTTTTGCGAGCTCCTGAACATTTTCAGCCAAAGCTACACTTTTATCGTCCTCGTTATGGAAGATGAACACCTCGTGCTCTTTGCACGAATTCCTTAGCAGGCGGTCATAGATGTTCCGCAGTACTTGCGAATTCTGCAGAGAAAGATCCGCCATCCTCTGCTTGGCAGCGCCAAAAGAGATGTCTACCAGGTCACGGTCATCTATAACGTCTGCAGAATCCGTGCATTGCAGCATAACGCAAGAGGTCAGCGCCTTCTGGTACTCTTTCTTTGCGGCCAGGTTCTTGATGATGCTATATTGTACTTCTGGATCCTGTTTCATGCTGTGCGCTTCATAAAGTAACTTGAGAGCATCGCCGTGGCGGCCTACAAGCTCAAAAAATTTTGATTGGTACAGAAGGTCTTTGTGTGTCGGGTCACGACAATCCCTCAGTTGGTGCATAAATAATTGAAAGGCCACCCTCTGTGTAATTTTTACTTTGGCTGCATATTCAATAGCCATGCGAAAGTAATTATGGCTTTTCTCCAACATTCCACGCTTCTTCGTGGCCAGGCCCCATGCCTCCAGTGTCCGAGCACGGGAAAGGTGTGTGACATATTGATCTTCTTGCAGTGACTTACGGAAACACTCATCAGCTTCCTCATGCTTGCCCAATGATAAGTAAATTTCAGCTAAAGTCCCCAGCAAGGCGTGGGCCGTTTCATTTGACAGTTCTATGCCCTTTTTGATGCATTCAATGGCAAGATCCATATAATATTTTGCCCGAGGATCTGTGACATGGGTAAAGGTTGCCCGCTCTGGCAAGGGCCTGTATGGTGGATATCCAGAAGATGTGTTGCAATTGCTTAAAACTTGGTCCTGTCTTTGGTAACTACGTCCGTCATGACCTAATTTGTTCCATCCTCGGTAATCCTGCAGAGCGACTGTGTTACCTCTGCCTCTTCTTTGTTCATTATCACTGCGAGTGCCAGTATAATATTGTAAACGACCTGGTGTTCGTGAACAGTGATGTCTTCCCATTCTCCTCCCTCTGCGTGGAACAGAGAAAAGAGGTGACACAATGGACTGCTCACTATGAGCTGGTCGCTGGTCTTTGTTTTCAAGGCTTATTGCAGAAAACGAATCATAGATATCTGCCTCTGCAGTTAATCCACCATGCGCACCTCTTCCTTCACTGTCTCGTCGTTGATATCCCCTGCTTCTGGGATGTCCTCTGTGGCTCGTGCCTCGACCTGCATTAACTGTAAAATAAAATGCGGAAAAGATTATCAGGTGGAATTGTGATGCACTCAGGCTACATATTTATTTCCACATTCCTACTTCACGATATACTTCATGAACATTACAATGAGAAATTTATATTTTTGTGTCCTGCCCACGACGTTTGCTCGCACACATTTATACATAAGATATATTTTCTAAGATACATTTAGAAATCTGAAATGGGTTGAAGATACTGTAATTCATCACTTGTAAACTGTCTTTAGAGCCTGAAATTGTGACCATATTACTTCTGCTGCCAATATAGAAATAAGTGCACCAATATAAACCTCACACGATCATCACCCACAATTAACACTTTGATTTAGTTTTTTATGTAACATAGCAAACTATAAAAGTATTGCACGAACATCCTCTTGATTTATCGGCGAAAAGGTCAGTTAGGACCACTTAACACTCCCTGTGAATTGATATGCGATTATATTCAGACGACTTGATAGTAACAGAGAAGTCTCGTTTATCACATATTGTTATCAACTCCAACCAAGTATGTACATTTAAATTTGTATTAAATACGTTACCACCTTTACCATTATTATCAGCCTCATATGCCATGGAGCGGTACACAAGTCCCTGGTGGTGGTGGGCAAAGGCCGAGGGGCAGAGGTCGCATGCCCTGTTTAACATCTCCAGAGCCCGCTCGTGTTGCTTTATGTGTCGCAGGTGCCTTCCGAATCGCCCCAGGACCCAGTGGTCATCAGGCGCCAGTTCGTACGCTCTTTCGAAGCACTCAAAGACTTTCAGGCTTTCCTCGGGCAGCTTCACAATTGCGTCCGATATGTTGCGTTTGACGCGCTTGACATCCTGATGGGAGAGCAATCAAGAAATGTTTTCCCTTGTTATAACAGGCACACTCAAATGCGTTATGAAAGGCTCTTTAAAAAACACACACACACAAGTCAGTCTATTCTCGCACACCAGGCTAACACAAAGTGTGCACATTTTTCTTTAACGAACCATATGAAAGAAGTACAATGAACCATAAATGAAACTCAAATCATCTAAAAATATACGGATATAAAAATACGTACTCTCCAATACTTGTTTGTGATTTCACCCAGAGTCACGTACGCTTTAGCCTTCAGAAACTTGTGATCTGACTTAACGACGTAGGCAAGTGCCGTAATTGCCATTTGAAAGTTTTCTTCCACATCAACGCTTGGATTTTCCAAAATGTGTTCCAGAACCAAACTCCTGCATGGAAAGAACCGTTTTCACGTTAAGTTCACTAAACAATACATTCAAGGCATTAAACACTTCAAAGCCTTTTGGCGTCTTCTGGTCCAACACCAGTGGAGACTAGGCTCTAAGAAAAGCCGTCTCGGGTGTGGACCAATCAAATTCAAGGACAGTGCATATTATTATCAGAGTTGTCTCTTTTGTTTGCATTTTGACTGCTTGTGTTGTGGTTATTGCAAACATGATGCCTTGAATAAAGGTGTCAGTTTTTGTGTCAGTTAAAAGGGTAAAACCTATTACTACTACTTCAAAGCCATTATTAAAGTTATAATGCTCGTTTACCAGAGAAAGCTGCACGGAGTCCTTACAACTCTTTTTTAAGAGAGTCCTGCCAAGTTTTCGCAGTAGGGGGGCTATTTTGCTGTTAGGTGTAATCCCAATTGACAATTTTTCAGCATTATGTTTGGCCAATAACAGTTACTTCAGTGTTCTTCATTGCAAGGTTCGTGGGCCACTGGCGGCCACTGGTGGCCTTTGGTGTGGCCCCCAACACAAAATCTAAAAACACCCCCACCCCCGCCCCCCCATCATCGTGACACTGTCAAACCCCCAATGGTTTCAAATGTGTGGTGGCCCTCACGCTGCTGATGTCTTATCGGCGAAAGTGCCCCCCCCCCCCCCTCTGAAAATTGGTGAAGAACACGGAGTCACATTGTTTTAGCTATGGGAGGAAATCCAGATGAAACACCACGTAGAGCAGGGGAGGAGTTACGTAGATAGAAAAAAAGTGAATAAAAATACGTTTAGATCGAAACACAAGCGGTCGTCATCAGGAAAAGGCGTTAGCCTGTAAAGGCAAACTGTTTATAAAAGTTTGGAGATGGGCGTAGCCCAAGTGTATCACCAGCACCAGCAGCATGAGCGGGGCTGCAATGTCAATGCAGCAACAATGCCAATGCAGCAGCAATGCCAATGCAACAACAATGCCAATGCAGCAGTAATGCCAATGCAGCAGCAATGCCAATACAGCAAAGGGCCGCCAGGAAATGACTGCACCCCACTCCACACACCACACTGCTGACGGTGGAGGTTGATTGACAAGAAAACACAAGTCAAGTTATGACCCAAAGTGGTTGATGACATCTTTCCAATTATTGCTGAGCCTATAACCATCCTCTCGGTGGAAATTGTGTCTGTATCTGTATATATGGATGGTTTCATGAACGAATCTCTGTTGATAGCCAGGAGGCTTGCAAAGTACCATCGTCTTAAAGAAATTAATTTCGTGTGAGCCAGCCGCATTAAAATAATGATCAGCCACTGCAGAAGTATTGGTCCTGCCGTGTTTCAAATCTGCCTTATGCTCACGAACACAGTCCGAGACATGTCGCTTAGTTTCCCCAATGTAACTGCTTCCGCAGATACAGCTTAGTTTGTAGACGCTGGGATATTGCATTCAGATGGGATCAGATCACGAATTTCCCATCCCATCTGTTAAGAACAAGATTCCTGACATGCAATATCCCGGCGTCTACAAACTTAGCTGAAAATTGTACTTTGCAAGCCTACTGGCTATCAACAAAGATTAATTCATGAAGCCATCCATATATACAGACAGACACAATTTCAACCGAGAGGATGGTTATAGACTCAACAATCATTGGAAAGATGTCATCAACCACTTTGGGTCATGACTTGACTTGTGTTTTCTTGTCAATCAACCTCCACCGTCAGCAGTGTGGTGTGTGGAGCGGGGTGCAGTCATTTCCTTGGCGGTCCGCTGCTGCATTGGCATTGCTGCTGCATTGGCAATTCTGGTGCTTCTGCATTGGCATTGTTGGTGCTGCTGATACACTTGGGCTACGCCCATCTCCAAACCTTTATAAAACAGTTTGCCTTTACAGGCTAATTTGGAGAGCCTCTCGGGTTATGGGAGTGTCTGGCAATCCACAAACATGAAACCATTTTTCATTTCTATTTTTATTTCATGACGTATACATGTAATTGATACCTACCTTTTTTGTTTTGTTTACACTTCATGACGTAATCATTACCCAAAAATGTTAAACTTCATAACACTTAAAATATCCCGATGTGGCTTTATTATTTGTCGCCATCACTATGAAGAGGGAGGTGGATGGCTGAGGTTTACTGGGTGTGGAAGGCCGAGGGGATTTTCTGATCAGCTTGATTTTTATTTTACAGTGCAGTATTGTATTTGTAATATTCATATATATCTGTTTCAAATGAGCGCGTGCGAGTTGTTTCCATAAAACAGGTGAGTGCCATAGCCTTAGAAATGCTCGTGCACAAACGCAAATCAACTGACTTTATTTACAATGGTCGTGGACAACGTCTTACGTTTCCTGTTTCCTAGTGTTGACAAGCCATGTCCTAGCACACATCTTAAGTGCCACACGTAAGCAGTGTTCCTGTTTTTTTTCTTTTCTTTTAAAATGTGTAATTATTTTGGTTTGCCTCTCCTGCTTACCCCAAATTCAAGTTGACTCGAGTCTGGCTCTGAGAGGTTTTACTGATGTTATAGGCTGATAGCACCTTGTCAATTCACTGCGGGATGAAGGCCTCGACACGCCTTGTCAAATCATGGGGGTTATTTGACCATATTTCGCCACGTTGGTCAGTTTAGGTTGAAGCGACGGGGGTGGGGGTCCAGGTTGAAAGTTCAGCTTATTGGTGCATTATAAGAGGCTTAATTGAGTGTCCACTTTGTAATTAATTCGAACTATAATTTGTATTGTTTGGGATGTAATTAAAGAAATTGTTACATGAATAGCAAACCTATTCAATAACCAATGTGAAAACCCATCACCTGGAAACAAAAGTATTAATCATATAAATGTGTTTAATACAGTAAAAGCACAACAGGAAATCCAGGAATACTTTGCATTTCAAGCTGACAGCAGCATCATGACAAATATCACAGACTGTGTGCAGAATTATGCCAGAAAGCATACTGGAACCTCCTGTTATTTGTTAGTCATCTAAAACCTCTTTTGTTACGTATCAAAAACCAACCTGTTGTAGCTCAAAGCCATTCCATAATGCCAAGCCACGAGCTTATCAGGCAAGCATCGACTCTGACCCACCTCGATGGCCTCTGCAAACTTTGTGGCTGCCGACAGATGCGAGCAAGGCCCACATCGAGACAGGCTGTAAGCCACCTCTGACAAAGCGATGGCGAATGACTCCTTGTTTTCGCTTTCCCTCTCCAAAGTTTGCAATGCTGCTTCCGCTTCTGTAATTTCAAAGTACTGCAGATGCAATTCACACTTGTTGGCAAGGGCCGTCACGTTGCGTGGCTCCTTCTGTAGGGCGCCCTCCACTAAGGGCTTGGCCTTGTCAGGCTGGAGTTGACGCAGGTACAAATAGGCAAGGAAATTGAGAGAGCGGACGTCACTCTCAAATTCTTCCACGGTGGCTGGAGCCTCTTTTTCTCGTTCCATTTTGGCAATGATACAGTCCACTTCTGCAATAGCCAGCTTCACATTTTGCAATTCAAAAAGAGTGGGAAATGTTCTGTATCTCGCACGGACAATTTTCACAGAAGCCATGATGACAGATACCGAAGCCACTGCTGAATCAAGTTCTTGCAATTACATTTCAGCTCCTTGCCTTTAGTTTGCTCAGAAACCACAGTATTGTTGTCCTCTTGTGACGAAACCCTGATACATAACACAAAACGATAAAAAAATGTTATCAGTTCAACTGCATATTGTCTTTGTATTTTAATCATGTTCTTTTTGCATATCTGTCCTCTACAGGAAAATGTAGTTTTCAGGTCCATACGGAGTACAACCATTTCAATACGGGGAAATATTTGTGTCTATTTGTTTGTGTTTCTCCCTTGTGATGGGACTTTGTAGGATGAACGTTGAGATTTATAAGGGCACGGGGTGACCAATAAGGTATGAATTGGACTGTAATAAGGTAGACACTTTCTCAGTCTCATCAGCAGGGTCCGGGGTATTCCTGCTACAGCAAATGTTGCTGGAAAACTTGTCCAGAACGCCCAAGGGGTTGATGGACCAAAACGTGACTTTATTTTTTACTCGTGAAACGGTCCAATGTTCATGCCTTTCCTACTACTTACAATTCAACCAGATAACATTTATGATACGGTACCATTTGAAAATGGTTTTTTTTTCGGTTAATACCATTAGTATCGTATGGAACCTTCTTTAAAAGGGATATGTTTCTACACGTACTGTACTGTTATGCATGTTTAACCACTTTCTGTATCGAGACATTTCCTTCTCTCTATTTCACGCACGACTTCCTTTGACCCGCTCTTCTCCTTGCATGTGCAGTGAGTCACTTCAGAGAGTTGGAGGCACATACGTTTATTCTACACTTAAACACTTTTGTTCTCACACGGGATAACTACAGACGGGTCAGGACAGCCTGACCCATGACGCCGAGGAGACGCAGACGTCACATGACGGGTTCCATACCAAACGACAGCCTCGATCCCGCCTCGGGACCTCCCTTTTATGCCCCCCAGCGTGCCCTGGCTCCGCCCTCGGCCACGCCCCTTCTGGAACCTACCATAAGGTTCTAGGCTATACCCCACGTGTCCCCTCTGCCATCTTTGCCCTATAACCCTTACTCCGGCCTATCACGTGCCCTGTTAGCCGGCCAGGCTGCTCCATCCTCAGATCCCCTCTCTCTGCCAGCAACCAGCGCTACACACCCTAGTGACCCATTCAATCACAATGCATGCTCTGCTGGCAGATCCGCTGCTACACCCACAATTCCCCTCTCTGTCAGGAACCAGCGCTACGCGCCGTAGTGACCCATTCTATGTCACTACACATGTACAGTCATTTGTTTATTACTTTGTTTACTTTTCGATTTAAAGCTTTCGTGACTGCAAGGATTCATCTTCTTTGGTTCTTTCGGTAAAGTCACGTAGAATGAGAATAAAATAATAAATTGATAAAATAAAATAACACAATAATATTCTCACGACGTTTCGGCCACAACACAAGCGGCCTTCGGCCACAACACAAGCGGCCTTGATGAAGGCCGCTTGTGTTGTGGCCGAAACGTCGTGAGAATATTATTGTGTTATTTTATTTTATCAATTTATTATTTTATTCTCATTCTACGTGACTTTACCGAAATAACCAAAGAAGATACTTTGTTTACTGTATGTGCTTGCTAATTTAACATTTTAAGTAGTGAAATGTAAAACAGTGGTACCTCGGTATACGACCGCTTTGAAATACGTAGAATTTGGTACACGTCGTGTTGTGACGAGAAAAAAATGTCTTGGGATACGACGCGCTTGCTAGAACTTGTATGGGTCGGGATGAGTCACCGCGTACCCGCGTATACCCCATTCATGACTGAAACAAAACGCCGCTCCTCAGTCTGCCTGTACAGTAGATCTCGTTCAGTGCACAACCCTTGCTATAACTCTCTGTGTAACAGTATTGTGTGTAATGACCAGACAATGTCACACTTCAGGAACATTCTTATAACAAGGCAAAAACAAACTTCAGTGGACAGGTTTTTTAGTAAAACTCAAACCTAGTGAGCCTCAACCAGGTCTAAGTAAAAAAAAGACAGAAAAGAGAGACAGAATTTCAGCTTCCTGAAGTTTTAATGGAAGGGGATTCTCCTTCCAGAAAATAACATCTCCTCCTGCTCCCCTTCCTCACCACCATCCTCGTAGACTATCAACTCCTCTCAGCAAGGTAAAGTGATGTTAAATTGTATTTGTATTCTTTGGTTCTTTCGGTAAAGTCACGTAGAAATAGAAAATAATAAATTACATAATATCATACGACGTTTCGATTGCAAAGCAAGCAATCGTCATCAGGTACAAATGAAAGAGAAACAAACCTAGTGAACTTAGAAATATAATGCAATACAGCGCAGAAAGTCGGCTGACATGACAGTCAACACCCTACCTGGTTGATTACGTTTAAGAGAGAGATAAGACACAGAACCGGAGACACATATACAGACACATAAGCGGAAAGAGTTAACACAGAGACACAGAGAGAGAGACACATGTATGGGCACACAGAGAAACAGCGTCTCTGTGTCGAGGCCTTAAATAGCTAGAGAGGGGGTATAGAGAGGGGGGGGGGTTAGAAGCCTTAGCATGTCAATGTTAGAAGACTTAGCATGTCAATGGGAGATCCTGCAATGAGAGATCAACTGACAACGCTATTTGTATTTCAATGTATGTTTATATATTTATGCATTTATTTTAATGTATGTATGCATTTTAGTAATAAGTAGTGTCTACATTATTATATACAACCACATTAATGTATAATATGCCATATAAAATATAATATATTATACTCTGGAACGGATTATTTCCTTTATTTCTTATGGGAAAAATTCGTTTGGTATTCGTCATTTTCGATGTAAGTCCTCCTACCTTCTGGAACGAATTAACGAGGTATACCGAGGTACCACTGTATCTGTACGGAGTGTAAACCACATAGGATGAGAATGGGTTATTTTTTGTTTTGTGTTTTTTGCGTTATCTGAATAAAGACATTGTATTTATTTGAAGTGGAGGTTGATAATAGTTCCACTTTTGTTTTAACCTAGGAGAGTCTTACTGAATCTCAAGCCTCGTTTTTCATAAGGCTGAGGAATTGAGACGTTTAGCCAAGACCAGGAGAAACCCTATTTATGTGAAGGGTGACACTACATTTCCATCTCCTTACAGCCGCACAACCTACACCACCTGGCAAGCCTCGGGTTGTCACCAGTCTGCACGCGAATCAGGCTCAACCATGCTTCACTTTCGAGATTGGGCACAAGTGGGTGATTATTCAGAGATCACAATGCAAGATGTAAGGTTAACTGTACACCACAATACATGGGAAATACAAACTGTACATGGTACTTTGTGTAATTCAATTACTAAATTAAAATAACCCTGGTGAGTGCAACACAAATGGTTGCTAGGCACGGGACATATTTATGTCTGAGTGGTTATCACAGTCCAAATGAACCGCTGCAGTTTATCAATCGTGTATACGATCCGCTCCACTGTAATTATTTGGCCATTCAAATAAAGACCGTGTCCAGTCCATTGATGCCTACAGGATATATTCCTGAATAACGTTAGTCATCTATTACTAGTACAGTATTTACCATGAGCAACGTTTGTTGCCGTTTTAAAGACGTAACAAACAAATAACTCACATGCCATTTTTGTCTTGGGCAGTCCGACGCGAGTTTGAAACTTGATTAATTTAAATAAAGACTTTGTAGTTATTTTCAGATTTGCTGCATGAGCGAGCGGTCATTATGATGCCAATGCAGTACAACTATTGCACATTTGTAAAGATGAATGTAGCTTCAGGCTCATGATCATCATGATCCATTGTCTATCTACTGATGGATTAAAAAAAACTTTCCAACGCCCCCATCATCATCATCACGACCCATATGTTATCCTCTGCTGAATGAAGCCCGTTCGTACAATCGTTTTGTTATCTCGAGTCTATCCACTGCTGTACATCTGCCCTTTTGTACACGAGCCGATGGAATCGCTTCATCTCCACCACGGTGGTCGCCCTCTCGGGCATGGCTCTCTCTCTCTCGCCTTTGGCTGGCGTTTCGTCCATCGGCTATAATCCATCCTTTAGCCATCATGCGCTCTGCCCAAGCCCACCAATTCATGTCATTAACAATGCGATGTCAATAAATTGCCCTCTGGACGATGTGCTCCTCCGAAGCCTTATCTCTCGGTGTGCCTTTCACCCTAACCTGTCCCGTATTAAGAAGTTCACCAATTTGAGTCCGTTGAGCCTAACCCGGTTTTCTGATTCGCAAGTCACCGTTGGCAACGCGGCACCACGACTAGGGGACATCCATTTAGTACGTACGCATGGAGGGGGGTTAACCCAAACGCGTACGCTTGCGTATGGGGGGCTCTACTGACAATGTACGTATGCATAGGAAACGGGGGTGGGGGGGGGGGGTTTGAAGCCTCGATAAACAAATTCCTGCGGAATTCCTGCGGAGGGAGCTGGTAGGAACGTTGGGCAAATATGCCCGACTGTGAGGGCGGGCACAATCCGGCGTGAGTAGGTTAAACGTTGAGTTTTATAAGGGCACCACGGGGTGACCAGCCCCTCCCCTCCCCACCCAGCCCCACCCCTCCTACCCCCCATCCAGCCCCACCATCGACACCCAGCCCCTCCCCACCCTCCCCACCCAGCCCCTCTCCACCCTCCCCACCCAGCCCCACCCTCCCCACCCCACCCAGCCCCTCCCCACCCTCCCCTCTCCACCCAGCCCCACCCCTCCCATTTTTGGAGGCACGACGGACGGACGGACACAATAATCCCCTGTGGGCTGGTGTAACCAGGAGGTTCCCACCAGTAAAATTTGTCGACATTGACCTTCAAATTAGCCACAGTTCAGTTTCTTCAGCTGTTTGACAACAAGTACTGCCGGTAGAAGTGGGACTGTGGGAGAGGTGCCACTCGTGTGCCACCGTGCCCCCCTCACTGCGAGCTATCACGCAGCTCAGCAAAAATAAGTGGCCAAGGAACGCGACTTAATTCTTTAATGCAGCCGGCGGTGGATTATCTGGTTGCTTAAACACGTTAATATGATTAATCCTTGATCGTCTCTGCGTGGATTAAATATCGGCCGTTCTATAGGATTCGGGGGTGCGTACGCAGGTTGGGGGGGACGGGGTGTAAAAAGTTCGCGTGTGGCCAGGGAGGTCAGGGGTCAAGTTTTGACAGATTTTTGCGTACGCACGAAATGGGTGGCCCCCTATCTACGGCACCGATGGTTTCACTTCGGTCACGCCGCTGTGTTCATTTTCGTTATCAACGCTGCCTCCCTAACCAGACTCGTTTCGTTTAAAAAAACAAAGAGAGAGCTGCTGCTGCTGCTAAACAATTGTTACAGTACAGTTAGTACATTTTTCGTCTTTAAGCGTCTTCAGTCACGCACTACATTTTTCAACACTTTTTTTTTTAAATGTGTGCCTTTCGGGACGAGTTGACGCTCGCTGGTGACTTCGCCCATCCGTTTGAGCGTTGCTCGACGAAGTCTCAATTGCTGCCATGGAAGGGGCCAATTTTTCCCAAAACGTCGCCCAATTATGTTTCCCTTTTGAGACCCCCCCCCACCCCCCCCACGTGCCGGCACGCAGAGTCTCTCGAACAGAGGTGACAGCCAATTAAAAAAAAACTGCAGGGCAAAACAAACGAATGACTAAAACTCTCATCGGGGCTGCGCGATGCGCACAAAGACATCCGCGGGGACTCGGAACGACGGGGAGAGGTCGTAGAGTGGCTCGCGAGTAACGTTCTGCAAACGTCTCAAAGAACTCGCGGCATTACAGCGGCGTTCCCCGCTCATAGTGAATGAAGCAACGCCGACGAAGATTCCGTGCTGGAGTCGTCTTTCCCTACCGTACGACGGACTGCGTTGTCTCGATCGTCCGTCGCCGCTGCTTGAAGGAAGTGAAAAAATAAAGGTGTCTCTGCTCCGCTCGATCGCACGAAAATACACGCCCAGTTAGACTGAATCGGGTTACTACTACTTATTCTTTATACGCCACCTTGTGGTAATGAAGAATATATTAAATTAAACCATTGAAAATTTGGCTCAAAAAGAAGGCTGTCTTCTGGTGTAGGTCAATCGATATCAAGGACAATGCCAAATATTATCGGGACATTTTTGTTTGCACGTGAAGCACAATTACTGTGTGTGTGTGGTTAATGCAGGCTTGATTGCTTGCAAAGGGTTTCTATTTGGTGTTTGAATATCTTAATACCTGTTTTATTGCCAGAAAGGGGTAAAACTTAATCTTATTTTACCAGCCAGGGGCCCATTTTTGGCCAGGTCAAAATTGACCAGGTCAAAATTGACCTGGCCAAAAATGTTAGCTTAACGTCATGGCTTATCGTGTGGACATTTATAGCAGCCAAATACTCGTGATGTTGATTCTAAAAAAGTGTGGTGATTCGTTGATTTCCGATTTGTGGAAAACAACGTGTACGACGCACATCCTCCCCTTATGCGTCCGAGCCAGGTTCAGTGTGGTCCACAGCCTTCAGGTCCTCAACGTTGTTTCTTTATTTGCCACGTTCGTAGCTGCCTCAACCTTCAGACCATCAAGTGCCGGATGTCTTCATTTTCAGTTGCCAGAGTGGAGGCACGTTTCGAGAAAGGTCAACTTGATTTGTGCGGGTCCCTTTGTGTTTTGGTGGAGTGGCAGGGCGAAGTTTTCCACGATCTTGTTGTACTACCTCACTCCAGCGCTGTCCTAGCAGACAGTCTCGCTCCCTTCACCTGATGAAGGCCGCTTGTGTTGTGGCCGAAACGTCGTGAGAATATTATTGTGTTATTTTATTTTATCAATTTATTATTTTATTCTCATTCTACGTGACTTTACCGAAAGAACCAAAGAAGATTACATCGTATGTTGGTTGGAGCGATGTTCTCCGGTGCAGGAAGCCACGGCAGTGGACTTCAGGGTGCTGCTGATGATACGAAGTGCGGTGTTGATTTTGACATCGACAAAGTTTGGCTGAGGGCTGGCCACTCCACGTTGGGGCCCAGTGCTCCGCTGTGGAGTGGACAAGGGCCTGTGTCGATATCTTCAACGTACGGGAGTCGCTTCCCCACGTTCCCGCAAGTCTCTGGATAATGTTCACGGCAGGCTTTTGTCTTCATTTTGCCTTGTTTAAGGTGGTGCCGGCAGTTGAGCGCCCGGTCTAGGGTAACTTCCTAGATACCGAGGGTGGTGGTCGTGTGTTAGTGGTGTTGACATCTAATGTTTTCGTGGCTTGCCTGTTGTTCAGGTGGAAGACAGATGCGACGCTCTTGTAAGTGTTTGGCTTGAGGCTTCAATTTGTAAAGTATGCTTCTAGGGTCTTGAGATCTTTTTCGAAAACTTTTCCAGTGTCCACTATTGTCCGGGCTTGGGTTGCCACGTGCAATGACGTCCACGTATGTTAGCTTACGGGAGGATGTCGCTGGTGAAGAGAGTGAACAGGGCTTTTATTGAGGGACTGTGTGTCGCCTCGGTGTGGTCTGGGATTATTTTTGCTGTTGTTTTGCTGCCTTACCCAACTTTGAGAATTGGTGTACTTATCAATTTGAACTTGGATACCTTATCTATTTTATGTATTTATTTTTAGCGATTTGCTTACCTTTTCTAATGTTTGTACTCATATCGTTGTTTGTATTGTTTGTCTGTTGTAACTTTCTCACCCGCCCCGATGGGATATCTGTGAAACAGATGATAACGAATAAAAACCTTTCACTCTCTTGCTTAACTCTGCTATAGCTATAGCGCTGTTTCCACTTTCCACGGTATCCGTGTGGCAGCAGCTCTCCGCATTGAACCCGCGGAGAACACCGCACAGTAAGTGCCACTGTTTTCCATGGACTCGCCTGTGGCACCGAAGTTGTACGCAACGTGGCCAATACGGTGGCACTAAACCGCCAACCCGCGATTTCACTTCCATGCGGTGGCATCGCGTAGTGAGACGGAGATGCGGCCACGGGTTTTGTTGGCTCTGGTCGTGCTGTGACCACAGACGCTCGAACCTGTCAACCCATACGGTTTACCCTGTATTCTTGTACAGGGAAATTGAGTTTGTCAGGGCCATACGGCGTACAGCCATTTCAATACGGGCACAAAACAATTGTGTGTTTGTGTTTCTCCCTTGTGATGGGACTTTGTAGGATGAATGTTGAGATTTATAAGGGCACGGGGTGACCAATAAGGTATGAATTGGACTGTAATAAGGTAGGCACTATATTCTTAGCTCTTTCGGTAAAGTCACGTTGAAGGGAAACAATAAAATAATATATAAAACAATAAAAGGTAGGCACTGATAAGGGGTTGGCAGGTATGGACGCTGGAGGGCTCGACAACCTGCAGCTCCGAAGCCGCATGCGACTCATAAGGGACTGTCTTGTATTCACATGCATTTCGGCTTTTGAAATATTTAGTTTTTTTTATTGAATTATAAAGAAATTCATATTCTTGTTATTTTGGTTGCCGACCCCTGCGCTAGAGGGACTCTGTAGCGACGCGCCGACTCATTGCCCCAAACTACCGACCCGACTTCTATGCGGTGGCGAGATGTTAACTACATCGCCTGGTATACAGGAGGTCGTGGGTTGGATCCCGACCTTGACACCTGTATCTTAAGAGTTTGCATGTTCTCCCCGTGGTCGCGTAGATTTTTTTTCCTGGTCCTCCGTTTTTTTTTCCCCTTCACATTTACAAGTTTAGAGTATTTGCCTGCAATACATTTCCACATGATAAGCCACTTCGTAAAGCTATCATTTGTAGCTAGGTCGCTTCTGAAAAAGAGCTATATAGCTCAGTGAGCATACAAAAACTGAGACCACACAACTGTTAAGGTTAATTGTCACGTACTGACGTCAGTACATCCCGGGATGTCAGTACGTGTACAAGTGATCACCCACGCACCCGTAGACGCAACTGTGTGGCCAGCAGGTGCATTTGAATCGAAACCGGCCCGCTGTTCGATTGAGTTTAACACCCATGAACTTACCCTATAACCATAGCTCTATAACCCTAACCAAGATCCACCCCGAAATCACCACAGACCCCGCCGCCCCACCAGGACAACCTCGAACACCCCACCTCCGCACCCACCACGACCTGGACCTCTTCCCCCCCAAGACCAACCCCGGACCCCCACAGGACCCACCCCGGACCCCCACAGGACCCACGCCGAACCGCCACAGGACCCACGATTGACCCCCACAGGACCCACGATTGACCCCCACAGGACCCACCCCGGACCCCCACAGGACCCACCCCGGACCCCCACAGAACCCACGCCGAACCGCCACAGGACCCACGATTGACCCCCACAGGACCCACGATTGACCCCCACAGGACCCACACCGGACCGCCACAGGACCCATCCCAGACCCCTCCCCACACATGGCCCCTCCCTCTCTCCGCACGTGGCGTGCGAGTGCACGAGACGCCGAGCGGAGGGACGCCACGCGCAGGGGGTGCGTGGTGACGCCACGCACAGTGGGTTAGGTGATGACGCCACGCGCAGGGGGTGCGTGGTGACGCCACGCACAGTGGGTTAGGTGATGACGCCGCGCGCAGGGGGTGCGTGGTGACGCCACGCGCAGGGGTGCGTGGTGACGCCACGCGCAGGGGTGCGTGGTGACGTCACGCGCAGGGGTGCGTGGTGACGCCACGCACAGTGGGTTAGGTGATGACGCCGCGCGCAGGGGGTGCGTGGTGACGCCACGCGCAGGGGGTGCGTGGTGACGCCACGCGCAGGGGTGCGTGGTGACGTCACGCGCAGGGGGTGCGTGGTGACGCCACGCGCAGGGGTGCGTGGTAACGCCACGCGCAGGGGTGCGAGGTGACGTCACGCGCAGGGGGTTAGGTGATGACGTCGCGCGCAGGGGGTTACGTGGTGACGTCGCGCGCAGGGGGTGCGTGGTGACGTTGCGCGCAGGGGGTTAGGTGATGACGTCGCGCGCAGGGGGTTACGTGGTGACGTCGCGCGCAGGGGGTTACGTGGTGACGTCGCGCGTAGGGGGTTACGTGGTGACGTCGCGCGCAGGGGGTTACGTGGTGACGTCGCGCGCAGAGAGCCGCGAAGAGGAAGCAGCAGTCGCTGCTGCTGCGAGTGGCGAACTCGTGGAGCCGCGAGAAGATCGCGCGCACCAGAGAGGGCCATTCAACAACAACAACAGCGGCAGCGACGACGGCGGCGGCGAATACAGCCTACTGCGGTGCGCCACAATGAAGCTACAGCCGCCCTGGGCCGTGCTGCTGCTGTCTCTGCACTTGTGCGCCCAGGCGCTGGCAGGGTGAGTTTGGCGGCGGCGGCGGCGGCGGGGGGTCGCGTCCTCTTTGCGAGCAAGCGAGATGCCACTGCTTGCCCCTTGTCGGTGAGTGTCGTCCCCCTTAACGAGTGCCGGTTGTTTCGTCCCTTCGCCCTCGGCAGACGCGACTTCTACAAGATCCTGGGGGTGTCTCGCTCTGCCTCCACGCGGGAGATCAAGAAGGCGTACAGGAAACTCGCCATGCAGCTGCACCCCGACAAGAACCCCGACGACCCGCAGGCGGCCGACAAGTTCCAGGACCTGGGCGCTGCCTACGAGGTGCGTGGCCGTTGCCAAGTTCCGTGTCGGTGACCCCCTCGAGCTCTCGATCGGCTTGCGGGGGAACACAGCGGGGGTTTCGTGTTCAATAGCGGGGACGGGATTGCGCGCGGGTGTCGTTCGAGTAGGCTCCGTGGTCAGCTGTGGAAGGCCTGGTATCACACTCGTGGTGGTTGAAGGTGGATGGGGATGTCTGTCCGGCCACGGGGGATCAGCGGTCGAGCGAGCGGCTCGCAATCTGAAGGGGGCGAGTTCGGATCCTGGTTGCGGGGTTGACTCAACCCCAACGATCTCCCTTTCTCCGGAGTTGATCAAACGAGGGCAGTGCCTGTTCTTGGGGAAGTTCAATCGTAACTTGCTCCTGCCATAGGAATGTGTGATTTCCACCATTAGCTTAGGGCTGGAATCAAGTGTTGAGCACTGCCTAAATGTCGATTTGAGCAGGACACATACATTACGACAAGCCTGAGTTGTTAACATAGCCTCTACTTACACTAGCTTGTGTTATTAAAACACGCGCCTGTGTTATTAGCACAGCCTTGTGGTGTAGGTACAGGCTGTTGTGATGTGTACGAGCTGTTATTAACAAACGCGTGTAGTGTAGGTACAGGCTGTGTGTTATTAACACAGACATAGGGTGTGCGTACAGGCGGAGTGGTTTAGGCACACGCTGCGTGTTATTAACACAGGCTGTGGTCTAGGTACAGGCTGTTGTTGTGATGTGGCTACAGGCTTGGGTGGCGTTAACACACGCCCGTGGTGTGTGAAAGACCGCGGCTGACACTACCCCGCAAGTGCATGTCGTACAGTGCGTTTTGCCGGTGTGCTGGCCACCCTAGATTGGCTGCCAGTGTCCCCGCGTCACGCGAGTTCCGCACTCACACGTGGCGCTGGCCGCACCGGATTGGCTGGAGCGACGTCACGCGAACTTTCGGTGTCATTGGCAGCTGTTGTGAAGCTCGCAAAGCCACGCCTCTCACACGCCACTCTGGCACTCCCGCACAACCCAAATACACACAACCCAGATACACACAACCCAGCTACACACAACCCAGATACACACAACCCAGTTACACACAACCCAGATACACACAACCCAGATACACACAACCCAGATGCACACAACCCAGCTACACACAACCCAGCTACACACAACCCAGATACACACAACCCAGATACACACAACCCAGATGCACACAACCCAGCTGCACACAACCCAGCTGCACACAACCCAGCTACACACAACCCAGCTACACACAACCCAGCTACACACAACCCAGCTACACACAACCCAGATACACACAACCCAGCTACACACAACCCAAATACACACAACCCAGATACACACAACCCAGATACACACAACCCAGATACACACAACCCAGCTACACACAACCCAGATACACACAACCCAGATACACACAACCCAGCTACACACAACCCAGCTACACACAACCCAGATACACACAACCCAGATACACACAACCCAGATACACACAACCCAGCTACACACAACCCAGATACACACAACCCAGCTACACACAACCCGGATACACACAACCCAGATACACACAACCCAGATACACACAACCCAGCTACACACAACCCAGCTACACACAACCCAGCTACACACAACCCAGATACACACAACCCAGATACACACAACCCAGATACACACAACCCAGATACACACAACCCAGATACACACAACCCAGATACACACAACCCAGATACACACAACCCAGATACACACAACCCAGATACACACAACCCAGCTACACACAACCCAGCTACACACAACCCAGCTACACACAACCCAGCTACACACAACCCAGCTACACACAACCCAGATACACACAACCCAGATACACACAACCCAGATACACACAACCCAGCTGCACACAACCCAGCTGCACACAACCCAGATACACACAACCCAGATACACTCAACCCAGATACACACAACCCAGATACACACAACCCAGCTCATACCACTAACTTTCTCAACACAAGCCACATACACACAACCCAGTTACACACAACCCAGTACACATAACCCAGATACACACAAACCAGATACACACAACCCAGCTCATATCACTAACTTTCTCAACACGTCACATACACACAACCCAGTTACACACAACCCAGTACACACAACCCAGTACACACAACCCAGTACACACAACCCAGTACACACAACCCAGCTACACACAACCCAGCTACACACAACCCAGATACACACAACCCAGATACACACAACCCAGCTGCACACAACCCAGATACACACAACCCAGATGCACACAACCCAGCTGCACACAACCCAGATACACACAACCCAGATACACACAACCCAGCTACACACAACCCAGCTCATACCACTAACTTTCTCAACACAAGCCACATACACACAACCCAGTTACACACAACCCAGTACACATAACCCAGATACACACAAACCAGATACACACAACCCAGCTCATATCACTAACTTTCTCAACACGTCACATACACACAACCCAGTTACACACAACCCAGTACACACAACCCAGTACACACAACCCAGATACACACAACCCAGATACACACAACCCAGCTCATACCACTGTGTAACTCTCGCTACACAACCCAGCTCATACCACTAACTTTCTCGACACAAGCCACATATACACAAACCAGCTCATACCACTGTGTAACTCTCATTACACAAGCCAGCTCATACCACTGTGTAACTCTCGCTACATAAGCCAGCTCAACTCTCTCTACACAAGCCAGCTTGCTACACACAACCCAGCTCGTACCACTGTGTACTCTCCACACAACCCAGCTTATACCACTGTGTAACTATTTCTAGAAAAAAGGGAAAACCCTATTCTCATATTTCTATACAACCCAGCTTATCTCATTGTATAAATGAATGTTGACCTTCCTTCCCCACTGTGCGAAGCCTACCGTGCGAAACGGTAGGTGAGGAAATTTGTGTCATCATCACTACACACAACCCAGCTTATACTATTGTGTGCTCTCTATACACAACCCAGATACACACAACCCAGCTCATACCACTGTGTTCTCACTACGCAACCCAATTGAACACAACCCAGCGACGCATAACCCAACTCGTACAACTGTGTATTCTCTCTACACAACCCAGCTGCACTCAACCCAGCTCATGCCGCTGAGCTTCATTGTTATACTGCTTTTATCGTATTAGTATTTTTTTTTTACTCAGATCACTGGTGCGAATGAGACTCCTGGTTGCTTGAATCCTCACCTGGTGGTTAATTAGAAACGAACTTGAGACTAAACGTGCGCACTTGGCATGCATTTTGCTGCTGCAGGTGCTGTCAAATGAAGAAAAGCGGAAGACGTACGATCGTCACGGAGAGGAAGGGCTCAAGGAAGGCGGCCATGGCTCCCATGCCGATGCGTTCTCACAGTACGTTCACCAGAGAGCGCTTCGGTGCAGTCGCAGAAGCGTGGAGGTTATAACCTAATGATATCATCCGAGTAAAGCAATTGAAATGTAACTTTTCAGTTTATTCCAGTGGAGTTTGTGCATTCGTTGTGTATGTTCCCGGTGTGTAAGAGCTCAGAAAACTGATGACAAAGGGACATTGCGATAAATTGTGTTGGCTGAATGTCGGAGAGCTTCAGGTATTTAGATTTAATGTACACGTATGTATGTTGAACTTCTTCCGCACAGTACGTAGCCAACACAATATGTAGCCTATGATTGCAGTCATTTTGCAATCGCAGGCCACTGCATACACACTGCCTTTTTGCATCCTTTTGATCTCGTGAAAACTATTAACGATGTTGATATGTATGTGTTGTTGTGACAATTTGTATTGTTGTAAAGTTCTTACCCACAACAACTGGACATCTGTGAAAAAGAGCGTGATAGCTCATCGGATTCCTCCAGTAAAAATAAATATTCAGTCTGATTTAGTACTGGGCAACTGTCTTGAGACTCCTGGTAAAACTGCTCCTATTCGCAGAGAGGATACTGCCTTTCCTATCTGTGCCAGACAGACCAATTGAGCATCTTGAGCAATTCTGGCTGTTTTAATTGGGGCTATTAAAAAAACACACACACACATGCAACATGAGCTTCTGTGGTGTATTGATCAGCACACTGGACCTGCAATGCAGAGGTCGCCAGTTCCATTCCATCTTCCGGTGAAGTGGTTGAAGCGATGGTGCAAATTCGCTAAATATTCCCCCACCTCTGTTCACCCAACAAAATAAATTGGTAAACCATAGGTTGTGGGTTGGGGTAACGTGTGGGTGGGTACACCCATCTCTTCCAATACATCTAGAGTATATAGTTAGAGCATGCAAATATCGGTGGGAATGTGACAGGTGGGGGTTTACCCGGCCATTGGTCCATCTGTGGTCAATACAATAAGCAGCACTTAGTACCACGGTAGCGGTTACCCTATCGACTCACTGCCAACATGTGATTGTATAAGTTTCACCTTTCTTGAGAGCTCTAAACATGATCTTATAATATCCTTATATTTTACTGTGTTTTAGCTCTTTTTGTTGTTATTTCTTGTCTGTAGCTTTTTTGGAGATTTTGGATTTGAATTCTTTGGGGGAGGAAGCAGACAGCAAGACCGTAACATCCCCCGAGGAAGTGATGTTGTCATGGAGCTTGAGGTCACCCTTGAAGAAGTTTATTCAGGAAACTTTGTTGAGGTGAGATTGACAAAGGCTCGGTGCAATGGCAAGGTTGCGTGCAATGTGAATTCGGCGTCCGTTTAAACTCCTGCAGCATTGTAATGCTTAGTAATACTCGTTGTAATAGAGTCCTACTCCAGAGGAGTATTCATCTTACAGACTTTACATTATATTCTTGATTCTTTCGGTAAACTCACGTAGAAGGGAAACAATAAAATAATAAAAATATATGTTTAAGGGAATAATAAAAATGTATTTTTAAGGGAAACAATAAAATAATAAAAACATTTTTTTATTATTTTATTGTTTCCCTTCTACGTGACTTTACCGAAAGAACCAAGAATATAAATCCCTGCAGTCACGAAAGCTTTCAATCAAAATTTAGACTTTACATTGCTGTGGGGTTCCTGAAATCTTCATGGTCACCTCATCAAATAGCAACTCTGCTCAAAATGTAATGTCTGATAAGATTCTGTCTTCTCTGTTGGTTTGTATGAGGTCAATAAAGATTGTTGCAGTAATAGTTTTGTATTGTACCCAAATTAAGTTTATAGATGTTCAGGACTGTTTTTTTCCATTGCATTTTTTTGTTATGACTATATTTCTTTTTAAAAGGTTGTAAGGAACAAGCCGGTGGCAAAACAGACTTCGGGGAAACGGCGGTGTAACTGCCGACAGGAGATGCGAACAACGCAGCTGGGACCTGGGCGTTTCCAGATGACACAGGAAACTGTCTGTGATGAGTGCCCGAATGTCAAGTAAGTGATGGAATTTTCAGTGGTAAAAAAAAATCCGTTTAATTTTTCTGTGTAAATGGCGGAATTATGTGGTCGTCATTAATTGTGGTAAATGCGATCCGAATGGCGTTTTTTATACATGTTGCACAATCAGGTAGCAGTTGGTAGTCGTGAAACGTAGGGTCACCTTTCAGTGCAAAACTTTAATATTTAATTTAGAGGGGGTGCTGCCTGGGGAACGGTACCGTGTTTTAGAAATGATAATACTACGATTGCAAAAAGTTTTAAGCTATACACCCCATATCTTTATTACGATATGTTTATAGGAATGGTAAATTTGCGCCCACCACAGCCCCGACACAATACAACTGGGATACATTAGCAGCTGCCAGAGCATGAATGTATTTTCTGCATGATAACTCTCGTACGAGTTGTGCATCTCAACGTGGGAAAAACTGCTGCTTGGACCAACTGTGCCGTCGACTTTCTGCAGGCTGGTCAATGAGGAGAGAACTTTGGAGGTGGAGATAGAGCCAGGTGTTCGGGACGGCATGGAATACCCATTTCTGGGAGAAGGTGAGGGGAGACTGCACTGCAATATTTTTTTTTAAAACACAAAGTCTGGCTCTTTAGATTTCATTGCATTAAAAAAATGTGCATGACTGTCTCCTTGGAAATTATTCTAAAGATATATTTTATATCTAATTTTTATATTTTGTGGTGAAATGTTTTTTCACAAAGAGACGTAATTGTTAAAGTACTTTTTTTTTAAATCCCTTTACCACCCTAGGCGAACCTCACATTGACGGAGAGCCCGGAGATCTCCGCTTCAGAATAAAAGTTCTCAAGTAAGTTATCAACGCGCACGCCTTGATCGCTGTTGTTGCAATTAAAGTGAATCAGAATCAGAAAGGGTTTTATTCGCCATGAAAGTTCACACCGACACGGAATTTACTTTGGCAGGATGGTGCATACATTCAACATATAGGAATCTAAAATCTTAAATAAGTTTTAAACAAGTCTTACTGTAATAATAAGGGTTAAAAGTCTAACTAACACCAAGGGGCTGAAGTATATAAAATTGAATAAATATCGAATATAAAATAGCTTTAAGATATAATTTAAAAATAAAAAATACACAAAGATTAACATAGTTAATATCGGCAAGGTGTCATTATGTAGGAACTGCATTGGCAGTGGCATTAATTAAACCGAAGAACCTTTTTACCTTAAATTTGTAAGAGTTTTTTTTTAATACAACTATATACTGTCGTCACATCTGGGATGCAGCATCCAGTTCTTACCTCACTGCACTTGGTAGCATTAAATGTAAAAAAAACATTAGTTGATCTAACACTCACTGATTCACTCCAGTCACCTGCTCGCCGGCTATTAACATAGTAACTGTTACTCATTTAGTCAATGTTGAGGACTCGTTCTAACAGACTGTTCCATCTCATCAGCACCTTGTTCAATCGCCACACTGCAGGTCACAGCACTTCTCTCTCTGCGTCTTGCTGCTACACTTTGGAATTTGCGCCTCTTGTCTCTTTTACAAAGCTCTTATAACCTTGCTCAAGTCAAGGAACGTGCAACTTGTCGTTACAACTTTAACTGTCGTGTTTAATGATGGATGCTTAGCATTGGACCTTTGTCGTCCTTCCCCTGCACCTCCCATTGGCAATGGTGGGATGCGTACGGTGTAAAAGAAGTTCAACACACACACATAAGATACATACATTTGGGCCTGTGCCCAGAAACTTTGTAAACAAATATATAGGAAGCTTGTGTTTTAGTTAATTGGCCCTTCCCTATCGCTGGCGTGTTTCTTGCCTTCTGTGTCAGGCACCCAGTCTTTGAGAGGCGAGGAGATGATCTCTACACAAACATCACCATCTCATTAGTGGATGCACTTGTTGGTTTTGAGATGGATATCATTCATCTGGATGGACATAAGGTAATTACTTCGTGGTCACATTTCAAAACTGCCATATGTACAATCGTATGTTTAAAATAAACGAGCATTTATGTTGCATTGCACGTCATGAAATTTGCCTGCAGTTCAGTTTGGTGGAGTTATTTATTCTGGAAAGCAATTTTTTGTCCGACTGCATTGCTGATAGTGAATGTACTGTTTGGTTTTATTAAAAGTGCGCGCAAGAGCAATAACATGACTGCCTCGATTAATGGGAAAGATGCACATAATGGCAATGTTAAATAATTAGTAATGGAAAACATGACACCAATGTTGAATGCTAATTAGAAAGTGTGCTGTAAGGGAATCTCTTTTGTGTTGCAGGTAAAGATCGTCCGAGACAAAGTGACGTGGCCTGGTGCCCGGATAAGGAAGAAGGAAGAAGGGCTGCCTAACTTTGACAACAACCACCATCGTGGTTCACTCATCATAACTTTCGATGTCGACTTCCCAAAGGGGGAGCTCACCATCCAGCAGAAAGATGGTAAGCCACTAAATGGTCTTCACTTTTCGTTTTGTGTGTAAACAAGAGGGTATTTGAGACAGGAGTGATATCTATTGCTGTATGGATCAGAGAATTGGACTTGTAAGTCAGCAGATCGAAAAGAAGTTGTTGGAATTTGAGTACAGGTGTGTGAGATGGATGCTAGGAACGTCATGGCAATACAGGATGAAGCAATGCAGAAGTCCGGAAGAGAACGTGGCAGGTGAGTGTTGTGTAGATACATTGAGACAAAATATAGCTGCGCTGGGTGAGACGTTGTGCAGGACTGGGTAGGGCCAATTGTCATGAGACGCATTGGAGGGGGAAGACCTAAGGGAAGAGAGTGGTAGACTGATGGGGCACATTGTGGAGGGAAGATCGTGTTACTACTGTGCAGCATCTGTGAGATCCGGTAGAGGGTAGAGAGCATTGGTGAGGTGTGGCTAGCATTGGTGACCTTAGCCATGATCACATTTTGGTATTTGAGGTTTTTGTTGAGCCTGGCCTTGCTCCAAAATTTGTATTTTTATTGTGTTCTTAATGAGATTATTTGTGTCGTGCAGATTTGAAAGAGCTTCTGAAGCAAGAATCAGCTCAAAATGTATACAACGGACTTCAGGGATATTAATCCTTAAAAATGAGTTTGCCACTTTTTGAAATGTCTCACGCTGTATTTATAATTTATGTATAGGTTGAGAATTTTTCCTCAAATTAAAGAATTACATTTCACCTTGTGGTCAATTACATCCATAAAGGATTACTACAAAGGGGTGTTAAAACATGTCAACATTCTGACAAAAATATACAATCCTAAAATCTTGCCACTCTTATTAATGCCTTATGCACATGTGCTGTGTCACTAAGTACCATTGTGCGCATAATTCTCTGGCAGCTTATTAACATTTAGTAAAACAATAGAAACAAAGTTTGTTCAACCCTCTTAAAATATTAACAGTAAATGCCATTGTGCTAGTTTTCACATGTCACCTGTTTAAGGCTTCAGTGGCAAAATGTAAAATTATAAATTGCTGTAATTAATGCATCAACGTCAACAAATTGAGCAACTTGGTATAAAATACAGTACTTTCATTTATGGATTCCGTGTGCCTAATTTTTCTAGACTTTTTTTCTACCCACATGCACCTGTGCTGAATGAGTTTGAGTAGATTTTCTGCAAGTTGTGTGGAAGTACTTAGGTTCCATTACTAAAGCTACAGATCTGCTGCCAATTGGGAAATGACTTCGAAAAATATTTGAGTCACTTGTAGTTGATGCTAGTGCCATGGAAGGCACACATTAATATAAAGGAAGATAAGAAGCCCTTGAACTTTATACTAAAAGTAGTTGAATGGACTGAATTGCTTGTTTTTTTGTTTTCCTTTGGTCTTCCTATTATATTCAAATGTAGTAATGACTATCATGCCATTTCCACGTGGAATATGAAAAGAATAGTGAACAGATATTTCTAAAAGCCCTGCAATCGTCTCTTATCAGCACGAGGTGTTTTTTATTTGGCAAATGCTTTTTCATGTGACTTATACACAGAGCTCTAAATGCAGCTAGCTACGTTCTTGTCGTGTCCCCTGCGAGAGTACCCAGCCATGTAGAACATGTCTGGGGAAAAACAGGTCCCTGCAGGGTGGGCTGGTAGGAACATTGGAATTTTTTTACACCCAACAGCACGAGATTTCACTTCGTTAAAGTATTGAAAGGGGACGGACGGACGGACACATTAATCTATTGCAGGCTGGTACACTCAGTTTACAACTTCGTTCCTACCAGTAATAGCTGCAGCTAGCTGATGGAATCGTCATGATCCTGGCCAACACGTGACTGCAGCACAAGGTGGTGCAAGTCTCGTATGCCCTGCTATAGAGGCATTTGTTACACGGCAAACCACATTTTGTTAAGTCTTCAAAGCTGGAGTAAATCTGAATTAAGTAAACACTACTGAACAGAGGATTATTTGTGCATCCATTGGTTATCAGGCTGCACCCATCTACCACTAAGACTGAGAAAGGTGTATCACCACGGGTGGGTCGCTGAATTCCAAGGCAAAATCTCAGCAGTACTGACTCGGTGCCCTGATATGGTACTATGTATGTGTTATGTTTAAGCTGCCCCCTATCCACCTTTATATATGGATTTACATTGACATTTGAAGAAGACTACATTTTCACCCAGATAACCCAAGTTTAGAGACGTTTAAATTCTGCATAAAAATATTTCAACTGCAATAATGTATCTTGTTGTGTGATGGGTGGGTTCTTTAATAACATTTGTGGAATATCATTGGTAAGGGTAACTAGTGAAAAACAAATGTAATTTCCCTTTTTAAAACCGTGGGTACCATTAACAGTCCTGCATCACTTTGTGATTTATATATTCAAACTTATGCTTTTGTTGGGTTATCTGAAATTTTACAGGGTAATTTATGGGAATTGTTTTAATGTACTGTATGAATTTTGCCCCAGCTGTGGATAAACTCTTGTCGCCAGATGCTCAAGGCAGGCCCCGTCAATGATGGTTTGACAGTATTGTGCCCACGGGGGAAAATCCCATCCCTTGTCTCGTGGAGGTATTGTTTACCCCTCTTGTAATAAAGTGTTTTTCACACCTTGGTGCTGTACTTGTTTAGTTTGGCTGCAAAGTTGTCATGCTTTGTGGCATTTCTCTGCTGTAGGATGTACAAACATGTTAATGCCTGTCTTTAATTAGGATAGTCCCTAGAGAAATTTATGAAGCACCTGATTACAGATCCACCAAATATTTAGCGACTACCTTTAAGTTTGCATTCTGAAATTTACATTAAAAAACAACTGCTCGTCAATGCGACACGATAAAAATAATGCCACGTATGTATCCAAGTAAGCCTCGTTAAGTCTCATAGCTTTTCAGAAGGGTTTTGTATTGGGATGTTTTGAAAAGTACAGGAATGTATGGCTTCATGTTGTTGAAAATCTGAAAACTCGGACAAAACCCATGGATAAAAGGGGAAACGCTCAACACCACCGCCTCAGCCACTTGGCATCCTAACGATTATAGCACGTGGCAAACCTTGGCCGTCACCCATCCCCAAGTATTACATTTCAAAGCTCATCGTTTAGAGAGTGAAGCTCTGTCTCATGTTTTACTGTGTAAACACTGGGTAACCCCCCGGCGGTGGCACCCCCCCCCCCCCCATCAAAGCCAGGGGGAGAGGTGAAGAAGGCCCAGCCACGGCGACCGCAGCAGACGGTGGTGGCTTTTCGACCCTTAGTGGGTCCGCAATACCAGGAGCCAGGTAACCTTTACACACCTGCCGGAGTTTGTTCATCATGACCTAGAAACTCCTGGAAAGCCCAAGAGCGGGAGGGGCTGCGGGGTTTCCAGGATCCCACGCAGCCCCGCCCCTCGATGGCAAGGTGCACAAAGCAGTACCTACCCAGTAGCTCGGGACCAGTCGCAGACCGAAGCAAGATGACCAGCCAGCTTAGGACCCTGGACCCCATCGCCCCGCTGTCCTTGTAAGGGCCGGGGCGCTGTGCGGGCCAGTGGCGAGACTGGGCCAGTGGTGAGACTCTGGGCCAGTGGTGAGACTCTGGGCCAGTGGTTATACTCTGGGCCAGTGGTGAAACTCTGGGCCAGTGATGAGACTCTGGGCCAGTGGTGAGACTCTGGGCCAGTGGTGGGACTCTGGGCCAGTGATGAGACTCTGGGCCAGTGGTGGGACTCTGGGACTCCCGACCCGACGCCCTTATAAGGGCGAGGTCCGAGGAAGCCAGAGGTCTGGACCCGCACCTTGGCTGGGTCGGGTCAGGTAGCCTTTCCTAGGGTAATCATAGCCGGAGGACCTGGGAACGTAGGCGAAGCTAGGCACGCTACGTAGATAGGCTGTGTAGAAGACCTGTGTGAATAGGCTGGGAATAAAGTGTATAAGTACGTGGTGTGTGTGGAAATAAAGACGTGCCCTCTACAACTGTCTCCGGAACCCATTACAAATGGGAGATTCACACCTCGCCACCACCACCCTAGTGGCTGGCTTGCTCTCCTCGCAATCCCCGGGACACTGTGTGTGTGTGGGGGGGGGGGGGTCTCGGGGCTGCCTCCTCTCTCTACCTGACCTCTGCTGCTTGGTCGCCCCAAGGCTGGAGGAACGCCGCCCCCATATCTTGCCCCGACATCAGGAATCGTGACTGCCAAGCAAGCGGCTCTTCTTTAAATCCGACTTGAACTTGAACTGTTATTCATTAGCTTTTCCTGGAGTCTGATCGGACGTCACCTATACTTGGGTGTAGTAATCTATTATTGTTGCGGTCAGTTGGGAATGTGGACAATAAAATGCATGTCGATTACGTCGTTTCAAAAGGCCCTTTATAACGTAAATATTATGAATGTGCCTGGAAGAAAGAAAAGTAGACAACACATCTCACGTACATTGCATCTTAAACGTCTGGATGTTCGCCAGCATTGTCTCAACCTAATCTATGGACTTGCTGATTTCTCCGTCAAAACCGTTCCAGAGGGGGTTGTTGCTTTGTGTTGGTGGCGAGATGTTAACTACGTCCCCTGTTTATGCAAAGGAGGTCGTGGGGTTAAATCCCGACCCTGACGCCTGCTGTGTATTTCAAATGTGCATGTTCTCCACCGGGGTCGCGTCGAATTTTAATCTGGGCCCTCCGGTTTTTTGTTCCTCCTCCTCCACATTGAGAAACATTCGTTTGGAGTATCCGCTTATAAATTTCCACGTGATAAGCCCCAATCTCCATTTTTGGGGGGCTATCGTTTGTGGCCATGTCGCTTCTGAAAAAAAAAATTAGTTACGTGAGTTCAGTTGGGCCTCACCTGATTAAAACAAAAATATACACAAAATAGTTGAGTATTTTTAGTTTGATGTTATGCAAGCTCTTGATGGACCGTGCGTTGCGTGCGTGGCCGATGGGATCAGCCAAAACTACTTATGAGTGTCTCTGTGTGTGTGTGTGGAGGAGAGGGGGGGTAGCGGTAGTGTAGCGGTGAGCACTGCGCTGCGAACGCGAAATCGATTGCCACTCACGGCCCAACACCCAGTGGCGATTATCTGAACCGGTCGTGGGCCTCCCCTAGGTCGGCTCAGCCTCAAATGAGTACCCGGTGCGGTGTGTAGTAAACATCGCCACTGGGGGAGAGAACGGCGGGCTGGTGTGGTGCTGGCCACCCACCCCGTCGTGTGCCACAGTCCCGGCCTTCACAGGCGCTGCTCGCTAACAGCGCTTGCCCCAACAGTCTGTTAAGGCTACACGGGGGATCTTTGTCTTGGTGGGGGGGGGGGGGATGTGCCTGTGTGAATGAGGAAGAGGTAGGAGGCGAACTTCCACGCCGGGGGGGGGGGGTGGGGGATCTTTGTCTTGGGGGCAGAAGTGGGAGGCGAACTTCCACGCTGGGTCGATGTTTGTTGTCTCGGGCTGCGCTCGACTTAGTCTGCCCCCCCCCCACCTCCCCCCAACGTGGGGATGAAACCTAAGGATCCGAGTCTGCCACAGAGTTCCCGGGGCCCCATGGCGTGCGCAGAGTCGCCAATGCGGACGGGCGTCCTCTCCGTGAGTCCTCCTCCACCTCCTCCTCCACCTCCTCCTCCTCGCCACCACCACCCCCCACAAACCCCGCAGCACCGATCACTTGCGAGCAGCGGTGGTGTTGGGGTTGGTGGGACGCTTCGATGTTCCAGGGAGGGGGAACCGAGCGGGCGAGAGGCCGCCGACTTTGACGAGGGGAGGAGGGCGGCGGGGGCGAGGAGAGAGGCGGGATGACGGAGAGGCCTAGCTGGCGGAGACAGATGTAGAGAGACACGGGGACATGTAGAGAGACACGGAGACATGTAGAGAGACACGGGGACATTTAGAGAGACACGGAGACATGTAGAGAGACACGGAGACATGTAAAGAGACACGGGGACATGTAGAGAGACACGGGGACAGATGTAGAGAGACACGGGGGCAGATGTAGAGAGACACGGGGACATGTAGAGAGACACGGGGACATGTAGAGAGACACGGGGACAGATGTAGAGAGACACGGAGACGGATGTAGAGAGACACGGGGACAGATGTAGAGAGACACGGGGACATGTAGAGAGACACGGAGACAGGTTTAGAGAGACACTGAGACAGATGTAGAGAGACACGGGGACATGTAGAGGGAAACTGAGACAGATGTAGAGAGACACTGAGACAGATGTAGAGAGACACGGGGACAGATGTAGAGAGATACGGGGACATGTAGAGAGACACGGGGACAGATGTAGAGAGACAAGGGGACATGTAGAGAGACACGGGGACAGATGTAGAGAGACACGGAGACATGTAGAGAGACACGGGGACAGATGTAGAGAGACACTGAGACAGATGTAGAGAGACACGGGGACAGATGTAGAGAGACACTGAGACAGATGTTGAGAGACACTGAGACAGATGTAGAGAGACACGGGGACAGATGTAGAGAGACACGGAGACAGATGTAGAGAGACACGGGGACATGTAGAGAGACACGGAGACATGTAGAGAGACACGGAGACATGTAGAGAGACACGGGGACAGATGTAGAGAGACACGGGGGCAGATGTAGAGAGACACGGGGACATGTAGAGAGACACGGGGACATGTAGAGAGACACGGAGACGGATGTAGAGAGACACGGGGACAGATGTAGAGAGACACGGGGACATGTAGAGAGACACGGAGACAGGTTTAGAGAGACACTGAGACAGATGTAGAGAGACACGGGGACATGTAGAGGGAAACTGAGACAGATGTAGAGAGACACTGAGACAGATGTAGAGAGACACGGGGACAGATGTAGAGAGATACGGGGACATGTAGAGAGACACGGGGACAGATGTAGAGAGACAAGGGGACATGTAGAGAGACACGGGGACAGATGTAGAGAGACACGGAGACATGTAGAGAGACACGGGGACAGATGTAGAGAGACACTGAGACAGATGTAGAGAGACACGGGGACAGATGTAGAGAGACACTGAGACAGATGTTGAGAGACACTGAGACAGATGTAGAGAGACACGGGGACAGATGTAGAGAGACACGGAGACAGATGTAGAGAGACACGGGGACATGTAGAGAGACACGGAGACATGTAGAGAGACACGGAGACATGTAGAGAGACACGGGGACAGATGTAGAGAGACACGGGGGCAGATGTAGAGAGACACGGGGACATGTAGAGAGACACGGGGACATGTAGAGAGACACGGAGACGGATGTAGAGAGACACGGGGACAGATGTAGAGAGACACGGGGACATGTAGAGAGACACGGAGACAGGTTTAGAGAGACACTGAGACAGATGTAGAGAGACACGGGGACAGATGTAGAGGGAAACTGAGACAGATGTAGAGAGACACTGAGACAGATGTAGAGAGACACGGGGACAGATGTAGAGAGACACGGGGACATGTAGAGAGACACGGGGACAGATGTAGAGAGACACGGAGACATGTAGAGAGACACGGGGACAGATGTAGAGAGACACTGAGACAGATGTAGAGAGACACGGGGACAGATGTAGAGAGACACTGAGACAGATGTTGAGAGACACTGAGACAGATGTAGAGAGACACGGGGACAGATGTAGAGAGACACGGAG